AATTTTACATTCTACTCTTCATTTATCTTTACATTGTTTTACTTGATTTTATCATTTTATATATGAAATGAAATAGAAGGTCCATAGTCCACTATGAGTTTCGTAACGCTTGAAACGTCATTTAGAGCAATATAGCAGATTTTGCTCCGATTTAACGAGGGTATTAATATTATGTCTATTCTAGTTTGGCAACATTATTGAGTGAAAAACTCATCATGTCCTCAATGTATCTCAATTTACCCGATTTGTGGGATGATTCATCTGGTCATCATCTCCTCTTTCGTATGTAGAACGAATACTACATATTATACAATAGAGCTTCATAAAAAATAAAGTTGAACTTCGAGCTTAAAGTTCAAACACAAATGTTTAAAAGATATGATGTGTACAAGAAAGTTACCGCCGGATTTTAATGTAATATAAAATTTCTTGATATATTTTTTTAGCATTATTTTTGAGAAATATTATTTTAAATTGTGGTATTTTTAATAACATAATGATCAATGAAATTTGTGATCGTTATAATAGACTAAAAAACCGTCCCATTGTTTATGGTTCAAAGATCACTGGTACGGCAAGAAGTTCGCTGCGTCAAGTCACGCTCGCGTATCATTTTCATATCAATCCATATCTCATCTCGAAGCGATGATATGACGGAAAACGCCCGTTATGGAAAGTCTCCGAGAATACAAGCTGAGAAGAGTGTCGGTTGCTTTGCACGGAGTAGGCAAATCGCTACCATACATTTTTGATATAATTAGATATTTTATATACAAAAAAGATAAAAAAATAAATAAATCGAAATATCAAAATTCTTTACACTTTATAAAATTACTTAATTCATATGCTTTTGCTTTATAATACTAATATTCAAAAAAATGAATTTGAGGTTCGGATAAAAAAATTGATATTTTTAGTTAAGAATAAAGTTGCAAATAATTTGCATTCATAATAAATAATAAGATATATGCAGCATAAAAATTTACACTTTCAAATGAAAAGGATAGTGGAAAACTATTTATATAACTAAGAATATAAATCTTTAGATTCTGCATTTTTATGAGGGCATTGTAGTCATCAATGCCAGTGCTCTTCTAACTTTTTCTTCTTGTTACCCGGTTCTATTTTATTGAGTTGATTTTCTTTTATTATATATCCGTATTTATGTAGAGCGGGGCTTAAAGTTCCGCAGGTTGAAGGGTCCACCACGAATATCTCAAAAACGAGTAAAATTAAAAAAAATATTAACAACAATATTTGAAAGTAGAGGGAAAAAGATGTATAACCATACATCAATCAGCCGAGAGAGAAATAGAAATGTTTGAAAATCTATAACAAAAGCATGTTCTTTTGTTGTTAGTTCTTTTGAATGTGAGCACTGTTGTTTAGTTTACGAAACCCTAATATAGTTTTTTAGCATGCGTTATTTAATTGTTTTATAAGATGTATTATTAATTTTAAGTTAGTTTTAACACTTTTTTATATTACCTCTATAAAAGCGTACTCGTAGGTGGGGTGAAAAGGACCAACTAAACCGTTACCTTAGCGAAGGTGTAAACAATAAAAAATATTAAACAAAATAGTAAATTAAGTTAAAAAAAACAATTTTTCACGAGATTAACTAAATAAATATGTATTTATTACAACTCTGCTGATGAATATTTTGGACAAAATACCAGATCATGGTTATATTTATACAGTGTTATTGTTGTAAACATGTACGTATGAGATTTGTATTTTGCATTGGTTGCACGATGTAGCTATTGTTTCACAATATATCATTAAAATACGACATTGGATCTGTTTGTCCCCTGGCTGTTTCATTTTACCCCGCCTATATGATAAAAAGGACCATGTGGCAAATTTTTGAAAAGCAGTAAGAAAAAACACATTTCTACAATGATAAGGTGACCATACGTCCCGGATTGGCCGGGACAGTCCCGGATTTCCACCTTGTGTCCCGGGTTTTTCTTAAAGCAATATTTGTCCCGGATTTTGATTTTTTGTCCCGGATGTCCCGGTTTTTCGAAAATTAATAGTTAAATTAACAAAAATTAAGAAAACAAACTAACAGATGCTAATTTTTTCAAATTAATTATGAAGAAAATTGAATAGAACATATAGATCGAAAAAAATAAGATATAATATCATAGATAAAGAAATATTGCATATAATAGTCAAAGTATAAAGCTCTTACTAAAAGTCCGCAATTATGATAAGATTCATTTAGAAACTGTTTTTCATTGTATTCTTGAATAGCATTTGTTATATAAACGAATAATATTATTTTCCGTGACTTGTTCCGTCCGTCGGGCGCGCGCTCTATCTACACTAGAGGCAAGCGCTGCGAGTAATGCGATGAAGTCACTTGCGTGGCTTGAAAGCCGGCGAGAGCTTTGTGGAACGGCGTTTGGCTCTATTGTGCGTAAATGCGTGTCGCGTACCGACTGAATTCTGAATGGAGTGGCTTAAAAACCAATAATGTTTAACGTTTCATAAACGTTTATGTGGTGTAGAACACAATATATACACCGCTAGAAGCGTTTTATAGCTGAATTGAGATTGAAAAATACGTGCGAAAAAGCACCGATGGATTATTTTAAAACCGTAATATCGATTTGCTATTTCAATAGCATAACAGAATTTTAAACTGAATCAGAATTTAGAGAGCTTTTAAATTTATATTTTACATGCTAACTAGGGCAAAATGAAATAACAAATAATTGTATAGTATAATGATGTGAAATGTCTTATAAATAATAATTTCTTTCTTTCCTTGTTATTTAAAAGAATACTGTCAATATTTAGAAAAGTTTTCTTTCTAAGTTGACATGATTAATTCTTAAAATGGCAAAAAAATAGAACTTAATTTAATCTCGTATGACAGACATAGACAAAATTTGTGAAATTTGCTTAAATAAAGTGTAACAATTATGCAGTTATGTACCCAATAAAATATTTTAAACTTAAGTTTTACAAAAACCAACTATTAATCATTTTAATTGATTATATAATTTAACCGGCGGCATTCGAGTGGAAAGGGTTATATCGGATCTACTTTTATACAATTCAATTTTATACAATCCAGTTTAATCAATACTTCGGAATTATTGTATTGTAGAATTTATTTTATTATTTTTATGAAATAATGATGATGCTCAAAAATAGTTCTATTCAGATATTAGTAGAAAAAAGATTATGTTAAATCTCAATTATTCTAAGTTGTAAATATAAATTGGGGAGGACGGGGTCCAATTTGACTTTCAATAATTATTCTGCATAAATCAAATGAATTATATCACAACTATCAAACTATGTTCAGTAAAATTCCCAGTTAATTCCTAATTATAGAAATATATTTTTTTACTATTTTTCTAAAATTTGTTATATGTTACTTTTTACCCTGTCTATGATTTGCCAAGAGACAAGCAATTCTAATGCTTTAGTTTTAATTTTAAAGGAATATCACGAAATAATAGTTACAATAATTCAACCAATGTGAAATACAACTTCTAACTCGTTTTCGAGATGATGGTGGGAACTTTTAAGCTCCGCTCTTTATACATATATATATATATATATATATATATATATATATATGTGTGTGTGTGTGTGTGTGTGCTTCTGTATGTATATTTATATATAATATTACATCGTTATTTGTTTTTTATGTCACCATACGTATAAAATAAAACAATGTTATCTATTTTCATATTACTATTTTATAACTCGGCATGGAATTTTTATTAAATTTCAATATTGCTATACGATGGATTCATAACTTTTTTTCAATATTTTCAGTGGCAGAACAGAGAGGCAAGCAGTAAAAGATGCACAAGCGCAGTGGCGTACGCCACCTGCGTTCAATCGTACTCCGTCAAGAAGGCAACAAAGACGAATTGTTGAAGGAGCTGTTGATGGTCAGTGTACTAGAATTAGGAAAACGAGATTTAATCTTGAACATACTTTTGAAATAATTGAAAAACATATCATGCTCAATATTATTAATATATTTATTCAGGACTATTATGATTAAATATTTCTCTGCGTTCTTTTATATATTATTTCTGCATCTTTTTTAATATACTATTTTTGGATAAACATTTGCAAGAGGTATTTTTGATTCGTGGATATCTATTCTTGCAATATTGTGGCGATTTGCAGGGGAGACTGGGTGCGGTCGTGCTACTTTTTTATTAGCAATATTTTTGTTGATTTACTAGTGTGCTACATGTACCGTTCATACCCCAAGGACAATTGTGACTATAAATACTAAAATAATTTATAACGACTTCTGTTGTCGTTAATAACAATAATACGTAGCACAACACAACATAAACATTTAAACAAAGCTTATGAATAAAATAACAAATGAGTAATATAACAAAACATAATTTCTTAAACAAAGTTAACAAGAATTTTTTGTGAAACATTTTGTTTTTTATTCTTATATTGCATTTTTCTTTCCCTTACTCTTTCGTATTTTGTCTTAGTTAAGTTAGATTTTTTATCTGTTTAATCTTCACTCGAAAACGATAAAAAATACATATCACAATATATATGCTTGTATAAATTTGGGTGAATTCAATATATAGTTGAATTTAAGCTATATGGTCTACGCTGTGAGAAATAACTAAGCCATGAATTCTTGACCTGATCTATATATGCCAAATATCAAAATTCATGGCTCGTCGCCGCTAAGATAACAATAACACATCTCATTTATTTATCATATGCGATGTACTCGGGCTAATGGGCATCATATATAACACCGCAAAGTGTACCAATATCTTACCCTTAACTGATGCAGGAAGCATTAGTCGCTTATTACAAATTCCGCTCGCGTTTCGAACGCCCGATAGCAAAACAACGCATTGCGTTGCCTCGAAATCTAGTAGCAATTTGTGGTCGCTTAATTGGATTATTATGTATGATACATATGCGCCGCTAATTGTGAATCACTCCCTAATAGCTTGTTTGGAATTAGCGGCGGTTTAGTGGTTCTTGGTAATAAAACATTTCAGTTTAGTTGCGTTGCCGAACGCGGCTCCAGTGACTTAATTTTCATTGGAAGCTCACTATTTTCGCACCAGATACGAGTGATTTTTAGCTTAACTAAATATGCTCGAATTCCCGTCTTGCCTTGCCAATGTTAATTTCATACTGGAGCCTAAGAGAATTTATTCAAGAATGCTCAAATTAAAATTCCAATGAAAAAGTATTTTTATTTTGCAGCGCCTAAAATGGAAGAAACGAAGCAAACCAGCGAAATTAAGCAGATATCAATACCACAGCCTGCGATCTCGTAAGTGTTTTATGTTACTAATAATTAGAATAATTAGTAATAATATTCGTTCAGGAGTTTCCTTTTTGATAAATATTTTTACGTTGGACCATCTGCAGCTTATATTTTACGTTTGATTGATTTTACAGATGAGTGAGTCAGTGTTAGAGTATTTATGAATTAAAATGATAATATCAAATTAATTTAATATTTCAGATTTCACTTAAGCGGGTATTCTGGTCTAGAGGCATAAATTTTATGCGATTTTTGAAAGACCGTAAAATAGGCAAACATATATTTTTTGTTACACGTAATTAATTTATATTTTGAGAATAAATAAGAAAATGAAAAATGAAAATAATAGTCATAAAGTTTTAATTCTAGAAGGTGATGAAGTGAAGGTTTTAAAACATTGGCACCTAACTATATCCATGATTTCAGCCCTCCGATTAATCTGAAAATCAATGAAGTATATAGAATGCTGTCGCTATTGTACGAACTACGAATAAGTAAAAATAATTTTGTTCTCACAAATTGCGACAGCCTGAAAAAAAACTTTTTATGATATTCCCGTTTTTTTAAAAAAATAGTAAAAATCGGAATTTGTGGATGAACGTAGTTCATACTAGAGAGAAGTCTAAACATTTCAAGTAAATCGGTCCAGTAGGAGTTGAGAAATCATGGGTATCAGAAAAACTGTTTCGAGAAAAACGCGTTCAAAGTTTCCCGCAGGAAGGAGACAGAAAACGAATATCGCAGCCATACAGCTCTATATTCGAAAATAATTTGACATTCGTTTCATGCACATTGTTGAAAAAAAAACAAATTCTTTTTTTTTATAAATTCTAGACCAGAATACTCCCTATATGTGTGTTATATAAATACATTTTTTGTTATCCATATGTAAAAATATATGATTTTTTTGAACTTTTTGTTTACATGACACAGTATTGACACAGTATTATTAGTTAATTAAATAATTGATACATTTGCAATAACCAGAGCATCATTTTATCACTTTATAGTTAATTTTTTTGTGTAAACTAAACTTAAAATCCGATTACATCCTTTATTTTCTTTTGTCTTAAATCTTTATTTTCATATTTTATATTTACCATTAGAAAAAAAAAACAAAAAAAAATCATAGTCATTATATTTATAGAAACGTTTATTATTTAATTGTATCAATGGAAAGCTTTATATAGAGCATATACAATGTAGCTGTCAATATGGATACTTTTAAATCTAATGAGGAATAATCTGATGAAACATGTAATACATTATATTTATATTTTGCATTTATATTTTCAGTGAAACATTAAAATTTTAGATGGAGGATTAATTATTTTTATTCCATGTTTCTTTCATAAAAAAAATATGAAAATAAAATATTTATAAAAGGGCCGTTCAAGTATTACGTAAGCACTATAGGGGGCGGGGGGTTTATTGATTTGCTTATTTTGGTGACAGATTTGCTTACTTTTGCTGACAAAGGGGGAGGGGGGGGGTAAATAATTGTACTAAATCTGCTTACGTAATACTTGAACCGTCCCAAATCAGTTCAATCTGTAAATTTCTTGCATTGAGGTCGACAAAAAACATTTTACATGCTGCATTTACATTTTATACATTTACCATTTTTAGCTATTCCGAAAAAAAAAAATTTCTTTCAGGTTCGAAAGCCCATATCGTTCGACATGTTCCATTCCGGCCTCTCTTGGAACCTCCGTGTCGACCCACAGGCCGCGGGCGAACGGCGGCGGTGATTCCCCTCGCAGCACTCGCAGTGCGCCATGGACTCAGCCGCACACTGCGCGCGGTCTGTTCGGTCCAGCACCGCCTAGTCCGCGTTCTGTGCGATCTGGACGTTCGAGCGGCACAGCAACCGGAGCAGGAAGGCATTACACGCCAGCAGGTCAAGATTCTAGACACAGGTCGAGTTCGGTTGACAGTCAAAGCTCTAATGACTCCAGGAGCTGTAGAAGGTAGATTTTGTAATTTGTCTTTTTATTGCGCGTTTTGCTTTTATTTCGACTACAATTTTCACGCTTTCACTTATTTATGCAATCGATTTTCTGGTTAGATATATAGCACCATTACTAACGAGTTAATTGTAATAATTATTACATTAAATACAATTACATTAAAATACAATTAATCACAAGTCTGCCTCCTGTGATATAGAATATTTTCTAAGATTTCGTATGTGTTGTTAATCTTTGTGAATCAAGTTGAGTTTTGAGATAGAAATCTATATGTATACAAGTAACAGTTATCATAAAAGAAATCGTATAAAAAACTTACTTTTGACTCTTTAAAAGCAACGCCATATCTACAGATCGTGTTAATGTTTGGCGTTGACTCAATGCAATAATGGAAACTTGTTTTAACAAACATACTTCATCTTTCTTCCATTCGACGCTAACTCAAAATTAATATAGTTATGACATTATTAATATTGTTTCGAAAGAGCAATAGGATAGCATTTTCATGAAATGATCTGTTAAACAATTCATGATTCGAAACAGTTTAACATTATCAACAATTTAGTTTTGGCAATTAATATATTTAACTAGCTGTAAGTGGAATTCTGTCTTAAGGCATTTAGGGCATCGTGCCTTAAGGCAAATTGCTGGAACTTTCCGTACCAAAAATTATTATTTTTTTAAAAACGATTAACATTTTTGAAAAAAAATACTTCGAAAAAATAAGATTTTTGAGAAACTATAAATTTGATAAAAATTACTTTTTTTTGAAAAAAAAAATCGAAAAAAAAATTTAAAAAAAAAAAAAATATTTTTTTTTTTGAAAAGAAAATGTTTTTTTCATTTTGACATATGTTGGAAGATCTGAACTTTTTTTCAAAGCAATCGTACTGCTTTAACTGCATAGAAACAAAATATAAAGCGTGTAAGCGCCGCGTCGCTGTCTAACGGGTAAACATTGATACGGAACCCATAGGAATGTAAACAAAATTTATACTTATTATTAAAATCTCTATAAAATATCTGATAATTTGATGTGCATATGTCTAATGATCATTTTTGACCGCCAAATTTTTTTTTTTTTTACTTTTTTTGTTATATCTCCGAAACCGCTAGACCTGCCCTCATGAAAATTTGATCAATTCTTCATCTTGTCAATACAAGTAAAATGTTTTTTGAATTATCAAAATCGGACGCTCCGTTCTCTTAAAAACTGAGGTACCGTTTTTGGCACTTTTTGCCCCATATCTTCGTAACGGCTAGACCTACCTCGCCAAAAACTAATCAGCACGTTATTCAAGTTGCTTCATCCGTGTTCCCGAAATCGTCGACGAAAATTTGTATCCGCACACACATACATACACGCACACACACACATACACACACACACACACACACACATACATCCATTTTTTCTAAGGTATGCCAAAATATTCAGTAACCTCTGAAACGTAAAGATATATAAAAATTTTCATTTTCGATTTTTTTGCGATTACTATAACTTGCCCTACGGGAAGTTAAAAATTAAAAAAAAAAAAAACATTTTAAGATTTTTTTAAATACTAAAAATACACGTAATGTTGTGTGGGGGAGGGAGATTACTTTTAAATATCACCACGTTTCACCAAGAAGGAGGAAAGGTCAAAAAATCTTTAGATCTTTAAATCCTTAAAAATCCCCACGTGATTAATGGATACCCCCGTTAGGTGTTTTGACGATTATCACTATGGTACTAGCACATTCATATCCCTTTATTCATACCCTATAATGACATTATTAAAATTGTTTCGAATGAGCAATAGAATTGCATTTTCATAAAATAATCTGTTAAACAATTCATGATTTGATACAGTTCAACATTATAAACAATTTAGTTTTGGCAATTAATATATTTAAAAATGGGATGAACCAAATGCACATTATATAGAATTAGAGATAAATTGCGCCGGGCATAGCAATCACAATACGGTGATGGCGTTAACACGATTCGGTACCCAATTCTCGTCCGTCGCTTAAACCTTGCCATCAATCGCATTTGCTAAACGACTTCGTAACGAGGGTAAAACGCGGTTAAGAGCTTTCGTAATTGAGTATTCATTTCGCTCTGCTAAATTGACTGTAATTAAATGAATCCGTCTTTATCTTCGCATCGGTTCAAATTAAAATCGTTTTTTATACATTAGTCATCTATTACAATGATTAAGCTAGATTATCTATAATTAGTAGAAAACTATATTACAGATTTTGCTCATACCATTTAAATAAAATCATTATTATAATAAAACTAGCAAACCCGACGAACTCCGTTTCGCCACCAGATGGTTTCGTGAGAAAGATGAAGAGATTTTTTGTTTGTTTTATATTTGAAAAGGAAAAATTTGATCAGGAAGGAAAACCCGACTTATTTTTATATATATAGAAGATAATCTATTTGCAATTATTTAAAACAATTATTGATTATTTTTATTACTCGAATTTTTAATTACGGTGCGTGAAGTTCCAGCAATTTGCATTAGGGCACGATGCCATGCACCACTAATTTTCTTAGCTATAAACTTTGCGGAGCCCGAGACCTTTCCAACGAATGCAAAATTGTCGAAATCGGTTCGTGCGTTCTGGAGTTATTTCGTCAGGAAGGAAAACCCGACTTATTTTTATATATATAGAAGATTATTTAAAACAATTATTGATTATTTTTATTACTCGAATTTTTAATTACGGTGCGTGAAGTTCCAGCAATTTGCATTAGGGCACGATGCCATGCACCACTAATTTTCTTAGCTATAAACTTTGCGGAGCCCGAGACCTTTCCAACGAATGCAAAATTGTCGAAATCGGTTCGTGCGTTCTGGAGTTATTTCGTCAGGAAGGAAAACCCGACTTATTTTTATATATATAGAAGATAATAACCATCACGTAATATTAACCATTTACATAAGCTTTTTTTAATTTTATTTTTAACAACGATCAGCTGTGTGTGTTTTGAGCTGCGTTTGCTAACTTGAATTTCTAATCTGTTTGTTTTTCGAAAGGGAAACTATATATTTGAGCGGTTTTTACTATATGTTTGTGATCTATAACCTCATATTTTATGTTATATTACTTGATATCGTGCTGGTCGAGGCTGGGATCGAATGCGGGACTAGTTTGTGCTAGCCCTAGTCCTTATCTATGAACCTTTGAACTTTTTAACTTCGAATTTGTTTAACTTTGAGTCAATACATTTTTCAGAAATTAATTTTTTGTTTCTTCTGTTGTTGGTAAATGATAACAAAAAACTTATGTTATGTTGGCGTATTATTTTTCATTCAATTTAATGTTTTGCACCAAATATAAAATTCTCTTCAAATCTATGATATTAATAGTAAAATAAATTAATAATCAATATAAATCTTAATAGTAAATTCGATTTTTGGCGTGTACTAATCATAATTTTTGTTTATTATATATTTTTAAAGATCCAAATTATAAAAAATAAAATAACAAAATATATCAGAATCTTCAAAAAGTTTACAAAAAATTATATATCCATATTATGAAACGGGCAGTTGCAGAAATTTGCATTAAAACACTATGGTTTAAAACACTAGATTTTTTATTGTTTAAAATCACATACATATGTTATTTTTTTTCTTCAATTATTTTTATACAGGCACAGACATCGATCACGTCGTACATCAGACAATGACAGCGAATTATCGCGAAGTTCTGGCAGGTCTCACAGGAAACATAGAAGACACAGGTCGCGGCATAAGCGTAACGAATCGGGTAGTGAGAATGATTCCAGACATTCAAAGTCGCGCAGCCGAAGGTGATTTACAATTTTTAACTGTTTTCACATAAATCTTGATGTTGTTTTTTTGTCAGCTGATATTCGACACATTGAAATTGCTGGTAAACTCCCAGACTTATTATTTTATTCTAGAGTTTTTTTTTAATTCTAAAGTCTATCATATTAATTTACTACAGATTGATTTAACGGACTTACGAATGTATGTTCATTGGTATTTTATTGTTTACATTGCATTTATTTGATAGATGAATAACATATATTTTTCAAATTTTAACCTTATTTCTCATTTTATTTTTTAGGCATTCAGCTACGAACTACGAGCTCGTAGAATCCGAATCGCAATGGCTAGAAGTGCAACGCAAGCAGCAAGAGTCAGGTGCGATGGTTCAGCAAGCATCTGTCAGAAAAAGCGGTCAAACTTCTAACAGCGCTCATAATACCGCAACAGCGACTATTAATAACAACGGAAGACACTATCACCATCAGAGTAATCCTGGAAAGACACAAAACGACCCGGAACATTCTGGCTACCATACTAGCGGCAGGAGCCGCAGGCACAGAAGCAAGCATGATGGTTCAGGTGATAGAGAATCTAGTAGAAAACCATGGCCTGGCGAATTAACTAAACATTTAGAATGGGAATTGGTCGACACTTCCGGAATGACAGAAGAACAGAGGAGAGAAATACCTTACACTGTTGTACAGACCAACCACAGTAGGATTAGAGTCAGGGCTAAGCAGTAAGTTATTACACTTTCTATATTTTTTTTTAAATATCTAACGGCCGTGTTGCTAGTTTTTGGATGTATTTTCGAATACATATTAGTATATATAGTTTAATATTTGTTGATTGATATGATTTAGATGTGAACAACGACGTTCACTATTCTAACAAATTAAAATATTGATTTTAATCAAATATTTATTCTACAGCTCATCTATCAAAGAAGAGCCAGCAATAATTTCACCAAATAATTCACCACAAAAGCAAAATCCAAACAGTTCATCAGTGAATCAGCAACAATCTAAAATTGAATACCAAAACAGCGCAGGAGGTTCTATAAGGTCCTCTAGCACTATAAGTTCTACCGGAAGAAGTAATAGATCTGTTACAGTGCAAAATGTTGATCACAGATTACCACGGTTTGTAATATCTTTATTTTAGAATAAAGAAACAAGACTTGTTTTAGTTCACATAACATAGAAATAGATATAATGTAACATATTGTTACTTAAGGGGGTTGTTCTTTTTTTTACAAAAAAATGCAAGGTATTTGTTTTTGTTTTTCTCGAAATGTATTTATCATAGAGACATGCGGTTTTTTTTAAACAAAAATTACAAAATCATATAATATTACGAAATTTTCTTTTTCTTTTTTTTCGCTGTCATTTTTTAACCAGAGGGCGACAAAGTCGGCCTTACAAAATCGAACTCTTTTGCGGTGCCACAGATAAATCCGTTGCGCATCGCCTGAAACAAAAAAAAAGAAACTACGTTGAAGAAGAAGTTTGAATTCAGTCCCCCTACCAAAATGAAAGAAAAAAAGCAAGAAGGAAAAAAATGGCAGCTATTTAAAAAAAAAAGTGTCAAAAAAGTGTCTTTTTTGGGGCGAGAAGCTTCGCAATTTTTTTTTTGCGTAATGTTATCAAGTTGTTTGAGGTAGGGGGACTAGGTATTGCAGTGGTGAACAAATTAAAAAAAATGCAATTCGATCCGACTTGTAGTTTTTTTTTAATTTGTGGCACCGCATTGAAAAAAGTCAATTTGAGAAAAACGTATTTAAAGTTTTTAATATAATGTACTAAATACTCCATAGTGTTCAAAGATGCTGGCACATTAAAAAGGTCATGTGCATGAGGTATTATAATGAAAAAGAGAGCAGCTGGCATAAAATAGCTCCGGAGCGATGAAAAAAACGGTTTCAGAGGATCATACATATAGAGATATATATCCATAACTTCGTCAAAAAAATAGATATTGAGATGATTTTTTTTTAAATAATTCTAAGGTTTTTAGCTTTCATAATATCAAAAAATCTCAAAATCGAAAAAAAAATAAAAACCGAACAACCCCCTTAATGCATTATACTCATTTTATCATATACATTATATCAGGCAGAATCATAATCGGAAATTGATTATTATAAGAAATTGCATTTTTTATTTAATAATTTTTAATTAAGTTTTTTTTCTTAATTATTTTGTTACAATATTTCAAATACTTATTTTTATATGTCATTATATTTCAGCATGATGAACAGTCTAAGCATGAACGAATTCCAATCCGCTTCCTCCGGACAACAGCAACAACTTCGCACGTGCTCCGCTCAAGTGTCCAGTTCGGCTTCTTCGTATTCGCTCACGAGTGGAGCAGCAGGCGTTGCGTCCTGCATCGGCGGTATCGCGTCAGGTGCAGCAGGAGGCAGGTCTATGAACTGTGCTCCAGCTCATGGCAGTGGTGGCACTCTGGGTAGCGCAGGCGGACATAGTTCAAGTGGCGAAAGCGGCGCAGCCCTACGAGTGTCGCATGAACACACTGACAGCGGTCTAGGAGCGGAGCAGGATTATGCATACAGCAGCGAAAGGTATAGATTGATAAAAGAAGATGATGATAATTAATTGTGCTCATAATTATGAAAGTGGTCTAAGTCATATATTTCTTGTTTCGAGATATTTAATGATTTGCATTTGAATAAATTAAAAAATATTTTTACATTATGCGGCATTTTAATTTTCAATTTTATTAGTCTTAATTAATGGAAATTTATTATGAATATGAAATTTTGTGTAAATTTCATACGATAATATTGTTTTTAAAGGTCGAATTGACTTAGACCATTTTCAAAATTAACTGCATGTCCTATAAATGACTTAAAGCAATAAAAAACTTTGAGTTTTATTTGAAACAATAATTTTATTGAAATAATTCGTGAGCATTTATTAATTATTTTTAAACGGTAATCCATTTTTATCATTATTTCGAGTATTTAAGATTCTTAAAATGTTCCTGAAAAACTGGAGGGTTGTACGGTAGTTAACTTATAATATCTTTGTTTTTCTTTCGATACTGGTCTAATGCTGGTGTATAATGGAAGTAATTTAATATTTCCGTATATTTTTGGTCTTTCTCTTTTAGGTGAAAGATCCAAAACGTGAAATGTAGAATCATCTAAAGAAGTTTTATAAAACATAAAAAATTTCATAAGGTTCATTTTTCAAGAATCTCATCCAATGAATTTGTAGCGAAGAGACAGATTCGCCCGCGGTATTTTTTACTATTGTTGTTATTGTATCTTCTAATGATTTCGTTGAAATAAAATCCGGCTGCGACATTCGCTTTATCGAAAATGTATTGCTTCTTCTGCACTTTTTTATCAATTCATAATAATGCTCAGGGTTGTATAAGTAATTTGCTAAAAGAATCATCTAAAGAAGTTTTATAAAACATAAAAAATTTTATAAGGTTCATTTTTCAAGAATCTCGTCCATTGAATTTGTAGCCAAGAGACAGATTCGCCCGCGGTATTTTTTACTATTCTTGATATTGTATCTTCTAATGATTTCGTTGAAATAAAATCCGGCTGCGACATTCGTTTTATCGAAAATGTATTGCTTCTTCTGCACTTTTCTATCAATTCATGATAATGCTCAAGGTTGTATAAGTAATTTGCTTTTTCTATTTTCATTTCTATCAACCCAAAATCTCGATCATTCGGTAGAAAAGAATGACCTGACACCAAAAATTTTTGACTTAGACCACTTTCATAATTAACACTAAATGAAGTCCATATAATGTTGAAATTACAACCACTATCTAATGGTTCATTTTTGACAATTTCGTAAAAATTACATTGAATACATTTAGTTTAAACTAATGTGGTATGAAATAACTGATAAACTCATTTTTTGTAAATTTTGACTTAGACCAGTTTCATAATTATGGGCACAATTGAGAAATGAAAAAACATGAAAATATGAATTTATTATAATTTGATTATAATTTGCGTTTTATATGACAATAATCTTATATTATTTGTCCAGATCGAGTGACAGCGCAAAGTACGCATCGAACGCGGCCAGCGGATCGGGTTCACCAAACGTGAGTACTATACCCCGTCGACCACACAACAGTGGCGATGTCGGGCAACATCATCAACAAAAATCTACCACTGCCAATAAAACCAACACATCATCTTCTGTACATAGTAGTAGCTCTTCGACAACTACTCCTAATCATCAGCACCAAACCAACAATAACAATAATTATTATAGCTATGGCCATAGCCATAATCGCCGTGCTCAAAACGGCTCCTCTAATAACACTGCTTATCCTAACATGAATAAAAAGCACAACACGGTGACAGACGAATATCACTTTCGGCACCAGCAACAGGGTACTTTGGGTAAAAAGCACTGGACTCAAAATCAAAAATCACAAAACTTTGCCCCTGGTAACGTCACAGCATACAATGGAGGAGGTGGCACATTAGATAACCGAAGGCACGCCAGCAAACATCGAGCGAACGCCACTGGGCCGCTGCTCTATGTCGAGGCTAACGGGAATTCGGTATTCGCTGTAAGTACACGCTGAATATGTACATTGCGGATGCATTTGGGAATAGTCACATTATGAGCTTTATTTATTAATTCATTTTATATTGAAATCAGCTTAATATATAATAATATGTTGATTTTACAAATTCAAAATATTGAGCTCCGCAAAATGTATTTAATTAATTTGAAATTATTGAATACCTATGAAATTTACTCATTAAATTAATGAAATAATTAATTAAATTCAATTGTTTTAAGCAGTTATCTGTAATGTAATGATTTACAGTTTTTAGTTTATTGTTTGACTATTTCCAGTGTGTGCATTTGAATACAGGCGTTGATACATCAATAATATGTTTATTTGCTTTGCGTGCTATAAATATTATTTCTGTTTTTTGTGCTATAAACAAATAATGCTTTCGATGAGATGAAAATTGATGTATCTATGCCTGGATGCTTTCGCTTATTGTAGTATTTTTACGCTTTATAACGACAAAACAGTCATCTGATCTTTTTCGACTGTTGCATTATTTTAAAATATAAAAACCTAATATTTTACCAATTTACACAAATGTTAATAAAACAGCTTCTAGTCAGGAGTAGAATTTTCAAATGCTTGCTTCTTATTCTTGCTTATAATATTAGAAATATTGCTTTTGTATAACGATATTTTACACAATGCTTTTACGTCTTTACGTTCAAATATGGTTAATGGTGCGTTTTATATATGACAATATATGCAATATCTATAATATCCGCCAACTATTAGTCGAAAATACCATTTACCTATATTATGCCTAAATTCTTATATCTGCTTCATGTATTTACGCTTTCGGTGCTATGATAACATATTTAGTAGCAAATAACGTAGTTCTAATTAACCTCAAGGCTTTTTTATTAATAATTAATGCGCTTTAAGCATAAAAGGAATATAATTTATTTTTGTTCGAAGCGTTCTCACTGTACAAACTGAGGATACTGAAACAGGCTCGTGAAATACATGGAGCAGTATATAAAATTATAGGAATCGACAGTAGTAGACGTGTAGATCGTTTTTTGTGGTCAATTTTGATATTCATATTTACATTTTTCTCATTTTTGCGCGATTTGTTGTCTTTATCTTGTCCAACATATTTTTATAAAAATATTTAAAACATAAATATTGAAATATTAAAAATTATTATTCACACAAATATAATATTTACTCAAAAATCTTTCATCTTTATGCAAGCTTTGCGTTTGTATTTGATGCGACGTTAATTATCTAGTATAATATATGGTTCTCCCAATTTGTTGGTACATTTTCTGATTTCGAGCATATTCAAATGTTTTAAATTATTAATTGTGTCAGTTATTAATGGTGTCATTGTTATATTATGTCTAACTCTTTAACTTCAAACCTTCGACGGATGAACATCGCGTACATGACAAATACTTGACTTTTAATATCTTGTTTTATTTACATCATTTAAAATAGTGCACATAGAAAAAAAATCATGCATGAAATGTAACACATAGATGGATTCCATATATCACTGTATATTTTCCCATTTTAATATAAGAGAACATCTATCGTCGAAGGTAAGATTATTAAAGATAAAGATACAGACAACAAGGAATTTGAATAAGACTTTCATCCGCATGAACAATATTTTTAAATAGCAATTTTCCAAAAAAATATGTTTGAAACGAATTTTGAAGGAGTTGGAAGAGCGTCGCAATAAAAACGCTGCCAATATTGCATCGCCCCAGCAGCGCTGCGAATCAGCGCTAAGCCAGCGCAGTTCCCACAGTTTGTACAGTCCAGCTCGCTTGAACGACCTAAGAAACGCCCCGGGACCTAGATCAGCCAGTTTAGAGATGATACTTGAACCTCTAATACAAAGTACACAGTAAGTCAATAACTACATTCAACACATATTAATCTATACATCTATGCATATAAATAGAATTGAAGTGTATTGAATAGAATTAAATAGTTTTGAAATAGCCGTTTTCTACTATTGCGTATGGATATACATACGGTACATATCCTGAATTCAGTTTTTTTTTAACTTACCGTAGGGTAAGCTATAGTAATCGCAAAAAAAATCTAAAACACTTTTTCTTTGCATATCTTTACGTTTTTAAAGCATTCTGAACATTTTGGCATACCTTAGAAAAAAAAATGTATGTATGTGTCTGTGTGGTGTATAATTATTGAAACTGAAAAGAAAATGTATGCGTGTATATATATATATATATATATATATATATATATATATATATATATATCTACAGATACAATTATTCGTCGACGATTTCGAGAACACGGACCAACCGATTTAAATGATTCGAAAAATTTAAAATGATTAGTTTTTTATATCAAGTCAGGTCCAGCCGTTTCGCAGATACGGAGCAAAAAGTGCCAAAAATTATAATTTAGTTTTTGAGAGAACGGAGCGTTTGATTTGTATGGTTCAAAAAACATTTAACTTGTATTGACGAAATGAAGAACTGAAATTTCTGGGGAGGCGATCAAAAATGATCATTACACATATGAGCATGAAATTATCAGATAATTTATAGAGATTTTAATAATAAGTACAAAGTTTGTTTATATTTCTATGGGGTCCGTATCAAGATTTATAATGTCAATCACGTTAGACTTATAATTAGACTATGACCCGCACTTACGCGTTTAGATATTTTGTCTCTGAAACCAAGGCGATTGCTTTGAAAAAAATTCAAAATTATCAAAAAATTCCAGAATATAAATAAAATTCAACCGATCAAAAAAATTTTTTTTTGCAAAAATTTAATATTTCAAAAAAAATTTAAGTTTAAAAAAAAATCGGTACGGTAAGTTCCAGAAATTTGTCTTAACTCACAATACAATCTCCGGCTAATTTCGAAACGGCTGTACTGATTTTAACGGGGAAAATAATAAGGTCGTCTCTTTTCATCTTAACTCACCCATGTAAAGTTTAACAAACAAGTTTATATAGCTTTTTTGGTTTTTGTCGTATCTTATTTTAAATCAAAATGTTTAAAACTTCAATTATTTTCTTGTATCTTATTAATCTTACCTTAATTTAAATTATTTTTGTGCTTTTGTTTGCTGCTTTCCTTTATTACCTTTAGGTGATAAATTCATCGAAATCGATTGAGCCTTTGTTTCAAAAATACCTCGAATTATTTGCACTACACGTTCATACAAACGATTTTTTCTAAGGTGTGTCAAGTGGTCTTAATCCTTTCATTATCTATTTTTTGCGATATCAATAACTTGTCTAACGGAAAATTAATCAATAGTTGAAATTAATTTTAAACAGTTGATATTATTTAATTCGGTACATAATAATTTATAGAATTGTTTCATTATTGGAATAATATCAATATAATAACTATGATAACATTTTTGAGTGATTAATACGATATTCGAGCGAAATTTGCAAAAATCATAAATAAATGTATTCGTTTTGTTCAACACTTTATTTATTGTTTTATCTAGTTCTATAAATATAGCGTAATTTAATTCTTTTGCAAAAGGTTTATCTCATTTTAGAATTTACCAATTTATTAACTTTGGAACAAAGTTATATCGCACGAAATTTATGCAAAGATTTCCTTTTGATATGTAATTGTGTTATGAAGCCGCCAAAGTAAGTGAGGAAATTGACAAAATAGAAATGGTCTCGTGCTAAGTTTTCGCCTTGTTTAAGTCTCTTGCTTCATTAAATATTTTAATTAACATATGGTAGAAGGTGTAACTGATTAGCTGGCTATTAGTATTTTATTGCTTTGCTATATGAACACAGGTAATTAATAATATATACCTGTATTTATATTATCTAAACTCTTATTTTTTATATCTTTATTAAAAATTGCTGATAATATCATTGTTTTTCGTTATTAATTAATTAATAAACGAATAATTAATTAATTTGTTTTTTATAATAAATTGTTATGGAAATGATCTATATCAATTAAATTACTTTTCCTATATTTCTACATCAACTAAAATTAATATAGTTGAAGCATTAGTTAGACGAAGCTTCAAATCTCTATCGTGAATATTTTTGTGATGTTAAAATAGTAAATTTTTACATTTTTCAAATTCTATCCTAAATACTTTGTAAAATTAATAACACAAAGTAGAATAAATTTTCTAAACAGAAAAATTGATATTAATAACATTATACAGGACTCGAAGTTCGAAAAACAGTGGATTCGAAAACAAATTCCAACAATGATATAAAATTTAAACGACATTTATCCCAAACTCAAAGATACGATCAATTAGACAAGACAAAATAAATATATTAATAATCCGAAACCTGTAACTTAAATGTAATAGAAAAACAAAACTAGCGAAACACAATCATACATTATGACTTTGATAAATTATAAATATAAATTTCAATAACAGAAGCGTAGCTGGGCCCGTATTAAAAAAATTAAAAGAAATACTTATTCATCATAAATATTTATCTGTCGCATATTTCATTTTTTTATGAGCACTTCAAATTACATACACATTCTTTTTGCCTTTATTTTGGTATACCGATTTATTAAATCATTTATAGTTTATTTATAGATATATGATTTAATAAATCAATTGATACGTTCGTAGCTACGTCCCTGTCCAAAATAGTAAAGAACACATACATCGAAGCATCTGAAGGTGCAATAAATTACTCTTTAGATTGAATTCATAAATCAAACTTTAAAGTTTTATATAATATATGCAGCTTTCAGAAATAACGGTCTCCAATTTTTGTTCATTGTTATCGTTTTTTGTTTTCATTTTTCTCATTTCTGGTAGAACAGTTTATCGAAATCCAGTCGTTTCATTTATCCAATTCCAGTCGCTTAAACCATGATTTTAATTTTATTTTCTACTACTATCTATGTGTTGTATATTTAATTTATTTTGAATTGCTATCAAGTCATTTTTTGTGTTCTTTCTTTAAGTCTATTTTATAAATTTCAAAAAATATTTTAAGATATTGAGAGCGTTGTTCATGTGGCTGGTGGTATCTTTAGTTTGATTATGTTACCAGAAATGAAGCATCAGCGATTCTGGTGCTTTATGCTACATACCTGATATTGGTTTCAATATCTAAATATTCGACAGGCGACGATTTTAAAAGCTGAACGTCGATAAAGGGGCGTCCATTAATTACGTGATCGATTTTTTAAGGATTTTTGCACCCCCTTCCTTTGGTGATACATGGTGATATTTAAAACTACCCGCCCCTGCACCCACCAAACATCACGTATATTTTTAGTTAGGAGAAAAAAATTTAAGTTTCTATTTTTTTTGAAAATTTTTAGATTTTTTTAAAAAAGTCAGGTAAAAAATAAATACACGTGATATCTTACTATACCCCTTCCTCCCCCACATGATATTTCGTGATTTTTTTACTTTCAGTTTTTTATTTCAGAATAGAAAGACGAGTTGCGAACAGCTTCTAAATATTATACATTTTTTGATAATCTTCTTCCTTTTGAATAAATATATAATATAAATAAGTGAATAATGGTTAATTATATTTTTTCAGGGGGCAGAACCATTAAATAGCAACAAAGAAAATGCTGAAATGAGCACAGAATTGTGACAGTTTATGAATTGCACAAAGTTTTGCCTTCGCAATTATAGTATTGAGTCGTCTAATAAATCTCTTAAACCTTTTAAACCAAGATACATCGAATGAAAGTATAATTAAAATATGTTATTCAAATATTTATTCACTATCTTAGTCCATCAGGTTATTATTTAGTCCAAGTAATCGAGCAAAAATTTAATTTTTAGTTGAGCACCTTAGAATGCGCAAACTAAATTACACGTTTTTTAGATAAATCTATAGAAAGTCATTCCACTAATTTTGATTATTGTTAAAGAATATATTTGCATAATACTAATAATTTATCAATCATAATTTGAATATAATACTTTATAAAAATTCTAGAAATTAGTTTGATTTTAATAGTTTGTTAAAATGTTGTATTGCATGTAATATTATAAAAATATATAGAATAAAGTGAATTATTTAACAAAATTAATAAACATCTACCTTAAAAGATATTTAATATTTTTAGGTTTGTACATAGATTTTAAAAATGTGTAAAAGATTTTGTTATAAATCATTTGCAAATTAGGGTTTATTTTACCAGCACAATATGATTTTTTTCATATTATTTTACTTTGTGATATGTTATATTATTATATATTATGAACATATAAATAATGAATTTTGTTCAACATTGTATAAGCCTGGCTTAAAAAATAATCAAAGACCCTTGTTTTAAATATTTACAAGTCTACACTAAAATATTTAAATGTAAAGTGATATATTATCAACTAAGGGTAGTTTTTATACAATTGTACTGCATTGCATTTTATACACATTTTATAATCAAATTCATAGAATATGAACTAGCTTAATCATAGGATGTATATCTAATTTTTAATCCCTACTCCCAATATTGTAATTCCATTGTCAATGATTTCATGCAATTTAAAATGTGTTAACTGTTGTGTTTTATATAAGATAATAACCAACAAAACATAGTCAATGTTATATACTATATCATAATTATATTTGTTATTTCTAGTATTCTAATTTTACTTTGCAAATGTATGATTTCATTTTATATTTTAAATGTACAGTGTAGATATTTAACTTTATTTTTGAGCAATTTTATAAAAATAATTTAGCATTGTAGACAAGAAAGTTATTTGAATTTTATATTCCTTTTTTTTTGTTTTGCTCTGGCAAGTTTTTTATATTAAATTTTTATTCGTATAAATTTATATAAAAGTTTGTAAAAATTTGATTTGAATAATTATTAGCTTTTAAACAAACTTTGTAACAGCGTGGGAACCAAAAGTGAAAAATATATGTATGTCATTTTAATGAAAATAAACAAAAAAAAACTTAATTACTCACATGCATTCATTTATTATTATGTAATACATCTCATATATATATACAAATCGGACGCTCCGTTCTCTTAAAATCTGAGTTACCGTTTTCAGCACTTTTTACCCCGTTTCTTCAGAACGGCTAGACCTGTCTTTGCCAAAAACTAATCAGCACGTCTCCTTATCAATACGAATCGAATGTTTTTTTAATTATTCAAATCGGTTGATCGGTGTTCCTGAAATCGTCGACGAAAATTTGTATCCGCACACACACAAACGCACATACGTCCATTTTTTCCTACGTTGAAAATTCAGAAAATATTTTACTTATATATAATAAAATAGCAAAGAAAGTTTTCAGCAACCAAAAATTCAAATTCAAACCGGAATTTCGATTCAAGATACGAAGCTGAGCTGTAGTAAATTTCAACTCTTTCAACTGATGTTAAAAGATTATGAATAAAAGAGATAGAAATAGATCAGTTGGTGTTAGACCGGATCTGACTAGGTTGTCAACACCTGAACCATAGATAAAAGAAGAGTAAACCTGAACCATAGATCGCTCTCTCGGCCTCTATTTCGTTGCCACGTTTTTCAGACCAATCTGGCAATTTGCCCGTGTTAGTTGAAGCCCCTCACTACAGAGGGCATTGGTCGCCTGAACAGGTGCGTATAAAAAATACTAAAGAAATGAACCAAAATTATATGGATCGCTATATAGATATATATAGATAGATGGCGAAAGTATTATATGCAATTCATTTGTTTCACCAAGTCAAACCCTTAACACGCCTCACCACCTTATAACGACTAAATAATATTTACTTTGTTTATATTTCAATTGTGCATATATGAAAATGAGAGACAGTTTCAAAGTGTTGTAGGTTCCAAGCTTAGCTAGCCATTAGTCGATCAAGTGTGACATCGCAAAGGACGGTGTTCTCTGCCAGCAGCTGGTTCTGTATAAATGGCCGAGAATTGTATATAAAATATAGTAAATGACAGTGAAAATAGTTTTAAGTTTCCACGATGGAGGAAGAAGATGATGAAATTGTTAAAGAGGTGTTTAAACCATTTTGTAACATCAAATTGTACAACGTGTTTAAATAGGTTATGTTTATTACTCGTGTCGGATATTTTCAGATGCCGGTATATCTCTCCAAAGAATTAGCAAATCAGTTGTACATATTTCAATATCCAGTCAAACCCCCGTCATGTACTTTCGAAAAAGCTCGTGTAATGAACAGTCGTATAAAGCCCAACCACCAGGAAGTGAGAATAGAATTTGCTCTGGACACCTCAAGTGAGAATTATGATTATTCCAAAGGAGAGCAAATTGCAATTAATACTGATGGAGCGACGGCAAGTTTAAAATGTTTTTATTTAAGTTTCTTAATATGTGCAAGAACATTAAAAATGTTATGTTCTACTGCACCAGTGCCTCCATATAGGGCTGCATGCATGCTTACGGTTGGAGAATTGAACCAAAATAATACAATTCTAGTTTACGTAGAAAATCGTGTTAGGTTATGGTAATGATTATTTTATTATTAAATGGCCATGTTGCAAAAAAATTATTTAAATATTGTTTTTACTACATGACTACTGTCACATATTAGACCTTTTTATGCTATACTATATTATACAGTGGAATCCGATTAGTATGACCGGATATATTGACAACCGCTTAATATGACGTAATCGCACTAGGAATTTGGTTTTCATATTCCTTAAAAAAACAGCTGTCTAGTCGGATATATTGACATCGCTTACATTGACATGCCGCTTATAATGATCCATTTTTGCAAAAAAATATGTCCAATTATAATGACCGACATGATTTTACATGATGTGGCCAAGTCTATTTTATGCACACATGTCTTTTAAACACCAGGGACTGTTTTTACAATAAAATTATGTAAAGAAATCAATTAAAAATTACTGATTACTTACATTAAAAAAAACACATTTATATGTTTATGGGTAGGGTAGACTTATTATTAATGACACACCACGGATATCTCATAAACAAATAAAATTAGATTTTTTTTAACAATTATATTTGATAGTAGAGGGCTAAAAATGTATAAATTCATAACCAGCCATCACTTTTATTCTTATGACTTTGCTATCAGAAGATAAGCAGCACATGACTGTGATAAAAAAGACCAGCTGAACCTTTACTTTTGGCAATAAAGTAGTAAAGTTTATAAAAAAGCAATTTTACAAGAGACTAATTGAATAAATTGTTATTCCGGCTCTTCTTATGAATATTTCTGACCAATAGCAAATCAATGTAATATACTGTGTTGTCTTTGTAACAAATGTACCCACAAAATTAATTAATTAATAGAAGAAATTGCATCTGTTCGCCCCCTGGTTGTTTCACTTTACCTTTTAATGATTAAAAAATAGTAAAAAAATTTAATATTTATATAATATAATTAGGAATTATGTACGTATATATGTAAGTTTTTCTGAACATAGTTCGATAGATGCTTCTTTGATGTATGTTATGTGTTGTTCATTGGGTTTAAACAGTATAATTACCGTAAGTCAAATTGGACCGTTGTGCCCCCGCCCTACCCTATGTCAATTTTATTTTATATTAAATTTTAATGTGTCATTTTTATTTTTAATTAAAACGTTTGTATAGGCTTTTCTTTTAAATTACTGAAACATGTAACATATTTGTATATTAAAAAGTTTTCCTTCATTACGCTTTTAATGACGACCGGTTAGTATGACGAGATTTTGGAATCCCTTCGATGTCATACTAAGCGGATTCTACTGTATATTCATTCATTTGAACTAGTGAGCCTGCATTGATGCCATTTTGTTGAGTGGCTGTATGAATCGCTTTACTTGAAATTTTGATATAAATGTATTTTGGCTTCTACTAATTTCATTAAATCTTAGCATTCTTAACTGTATTATGGAATATGACAGTCTTTTTACAATTTGTCATCAAATTTTACAGCCTAACTCAAGTAGGGATAACTCTTCGTCCTCTGCATTTTTCAAAAGTGGGGTGATGGACAAGCAATGTTACTCGAGCTCAGGAACTGTTGGCAAGCAAGAAATCCAGAAATATGCTTTAGCATCTATTCGAGATGGTGAACTGCAGTGTACTCCTTTAGCAGGTAAATCATTCTATATCATATTCGGAAACCAATACGACCTTCATTTATGCTCTGAAAATTATTTATAGGAATAGTCCAATTGCATCCTAGTTTTTCATATTTTGACAAATTTGATAAACGAACAAAGGCTGAGGAAAAAGCAGAAAAAGAAGCAGATTTAGATGAAGAAGAAATACAGCAGGTAATAATGAATTTTATGTATTCTATTTTTGACAAACACTGATTGATATTTTTTCTTGTAATTAGGTCACTGTAAAATTTGCTCGTGTGGAAAGTGATAAAGTAAAAAAAGCTCGTGAAAAGTCTTATGGATATCTTTCTAAAAAGAGTGAAGAGGAACCATGGTGTGAAACTGTATATTATCAAAATGATACAAATGAAGCTGAGGTATTCTAAATATTTTTTATAAAAGTATTGATAAAAAGAATCTGGTGAATTTACAAAATCATTTGCTTAAAAAATATGTTTTACTTAATGTTATATTTTTATTTAAAACAAGTTGACATATTACATATTTTTTTTTTTTATTTCTAAAGTTGGAAAAATTGCGACTGGTTTGTCAAAATACCAATGATGTGGGCCATGCACTGTCATTTACAGGAGATGAATACTTAAAGTCGTTAATGCCTTTGGAAGTTGAGGATGGTGGAACATTACCTTCGTTGCCTTCCCATGTTTTGTCTCTAAATGCTCTCAAAACATTACCACTATTAGATCAAATCAAACTTCTACTAAAAGATGGTAATTTATTTTGATCATATTATTATTGTTCATATGTTTTAACCTGTTTTTATTTTCAAAAGTGAAGCAATGCAGTTACTGCATTTTATGCATTTATAATAAATAATTAAATAGGAGCTTTTAATGGATAACTATATACAACTATTGATATTTAGCAAAAATATATATATATATATATATATGTATATAATTTATTATCTTGATTTGATATTCGAACATTAGTACCCTTAATTTCATTGAGTTAGTTTGTTTTTAAAATCATTTAGTTTTTTGTTAATATGAAAGTATAATTGCTGTTATATATGTTACCCTTCTCTAGTTGTATGCTATAAAACTAAATGTTATTTTCTGGAAGCAAAATTTAGGTTTAATTTGCTTATTTATATTAATGATTTAATGCTGAACACTTTTTTTATCATTTTAGCTAAACTGATAACATTTCAACATTTATCACTAATTCTTGCTCAAGAGTCTTTAACAACTGATAAATTACTTAAAACCTTGCCACAAGCTGGTATGCTTATTCGTGGTTGTTGGACTGCACGTTCTGAAGTACTGTATCCTCCTGATACTCGATCTGGTAGCAGTGGGGTTCCTGCTGAATTAATGTGTCGAGGACGGGATTACGTGGTTGGTAACTTCAGTATGGTCTTGTAATCATAGTTTTAAAATAAGGTCATATCTTCGATGATTTTTTTTCAAACTATGTAACTCTCTAATATCAATAAACCATAAATTGTATTTAATTAATTGTTCAAATATGTTTTAGATATATTTATTTACTGAAAATCAATATGTAGATAGACGAAGAGTATCTGCTGAAGTAAAACTTCCACCAGATGAAATAAAGGAAATTCTTTCATCTGTGGCTAGATTGCGATATGGCAAAGGGTGGGAATTATTGATTCCTCCAGATTTAACTTTTGAACAAAAGCACCAAGATATAGTGCAGAGACAAGCATTAATGTGGCAAGCCAAGCAAAGACTGTTTTCTGAAATGCTCAAAGAACCTGTTAATGCGTCAGGTATTAAAAGACAAAGAAAACGATCTCAGAGAGAGTCAGTAAGCCTGGATGATGCATCATCTCCAGTCAAAGGACAAAACCATATCAATGGTCTTGAAGAAACAATGAAATGCAATGGTGTAAACGTTAAAAGTAGTATAATCGAGGGTGAATCTGATAGCTGAAGAAAAGCGAGATTGAGAAGCTGTATTTAGTTGTATATAATTTTTTATTTAATTGTAAGCTATATATTTATGCATTAAAATTTGTTTTTATAAGAATATACAATGAATTTATTTAGTATAAAGATCCTTTGTCTTCAGCATACAAGAAGTATATTGGTACATTACCTCTTGGGGTGTATACTATTTCTTCGTGCCGTATTAGAAATATTGCAGCCAAGCCATATAGCAAACACGGTATACCTGAAACAAATATTAAAAAATTATATCACCTAAATTTTTTATACAATACTATGACCGTTTACCTAAGTTTGTAACCTTGATTGCTTTAAAGAAAATGTCTTGCAAATGTAAATCCTCATAAGCTCTTTTAGTGCAGTGATATTTCATATATGGGTAACAACCAGTTCTTAAAATTTGATAGTTTGTTCCACTTTCTAATGTCCAGTTGAAATTTGACATACCCCATTGGTCATCGTTAACATCTTTGTACTATACAAATTTTTAATTCAATTAGATTTATTATTATTTATTGTCAGGCAATGGCAATATATTGTTCTTATTTGTAAGATCCAAGACGAAATTTTTATCTCAAAAGATTTTTAATTTTATATTTGCAGTTTGTTTAAATTATGAGGAATGATTATTAAAAGTTACATTGAGAGTAAATATATTCTCATTCAGAATATATTTTATATTAATCATTAAAAAAAAATATATATATTTTTTAAATTTCATGTTTATAAAAATACATTTAAAATTTTCAGAATTATATACCAACATTGGGAATAATATATCCAACATAACAATAACGACATTCTTTATGTATTTAAGTTTAAGAAAATTGAAAATTATAACTGGAATCAGGAACCATGATTTCATCATTCACGGGAAATAATCAGATATTTAACTAGTGGGGTGGGTGGCATCGTGCCTTAAGGCAAATTGCTGGAACTTCCCGTACCGTAACGAAATGTTCGGGGATTACTGAATGTTTTCAAATAGATTATTATAAATATTGTAACATTGTCTAATATTTATAAATATTATATAAACTGAATTGCAGAGTTGAAATTATTTGTAAAGTATATTAGAACTATAGTCAGAATTAAAAATAAATATTTTCGATATACAAAAAACTAAAAAAAACAAAAAAAATGGGACAATTTTTTTTTTTCCAAAATCGATTATTTTGTTAAGATAAGCAGAAAGTTCTTTGAATCATTTAAATCGGACGCTTAGTTCTCTCAAAAACTGCCATTTTTTACATATTTAGCTCCGTATCTTCAAAATGGCTGGGCCTGCCTTTGCCAAAAACTAATAAACACTTCTCCCAATCATTACTAATTGAATGTTTTTTAGATCATTCAAATCGGATACTCCGTTCTCTCAAAAATACGATTTCTATTTTCTGCACTCTTTGCTCCGTATCTCCGAAACGGCTGGACCTGCCTTTGCCAAAAACTAATCAGCTCTTCCCTATCAATAGGAATCGGATGTTTTTTGAACCATTCAAATCGGTTGATCCGTGCGCCCTAAAACGACTGGAAATTTGTTTCCACACATACATACACACACACATCCATTTTTTCTGAAGTATGCCAAAACGTTCAGAAACCTTCAAAACGTCGAGAAATGTAAAAATTTTCAATTCCGATTTTCGGCCCATTACAATAACTTACCCTACGGGAAGTTAATAATATATCCAACATTAACAATAAAGACATTCTTTATATATTATAAATTTAGGTTTCTTGGTTTAAGAAAATTGAAAATCATAACTGGAATCAGGAGCCATGAATTCATCATTCATGGGAAATAATCAGATATTTAATAATATGTTAGTTCATATTTTTTTATTTATCGCAAATTGAGATGATTGCTCAAATTCAAATGTACTTGGCGAGAAATAATTACGAACGATTGAAATGCACCGATCTAATGTTTACGTCTCTATTCGGGTATTCGGGCTGACAGTCGGCATCACATCTATGGCTAAAATCTTAATAATAAATAATACATTAATGTCAATATGTACTTTTATGAAATATGAAGTCCAAGGCGGCTCTCGGCATTGTTTCAAGTAACATGATAAAGCTTCAGACGAAGTTGGTTTATTGATTAAGGACGAATATTTCAAATTGCTGTGTTTAGCACAATTTAATACTTTCAGCATACTGATTCAATCATATATTCAACAATGACTAGAAATATTTTAATATTGCACATTATATTAAGATAATTAATACGTAAGTATTTGATTTAAACTGAACATTGTAATATAACTGAGTGATGACAACAGATTTAACCTTAAATATAGCATTGGATCAACATGAGTGGATTATTTGCCAAACAAACAGTCATGGGGTTTAGACTGATTTTAGCTAATTTCTGTTTTGATTCTCTTACATTTGCTGATTAACATTGGCTGAATTAATGGCATAAGACTGTGATTAATACAACATGGCTAGAATTAAATGGAAAATAAAATTACTACCAAAGATAGCAATGTAAGTATATTGACCAATAGACTATTTATATCTCAATTTATTGACTAATAATCACTTTGTTATTCAGAGACTCATTGAAAAAGCTGCACTATCGCACAAAAATTATTTTCAAGTCTTTAACATATAATCACCATATGAACCAAAGCTATGCAGCCGATGTGGCTATGGAACCTATTTTTTGGATAGTGGACAATTTTACACAATTTTTGGGCCCGGTATGCTTAAAGTTTTATATTCAATAGCTTGATTTATTTTTTATTGAGATATCATTTGTATAAAGACAATTGTCATTTTATACTTTGATTGTTGTTCATCAAATTTGGAATTATCTTTTCTTTATGTGCATGCTATAATTAAAAAATATTGGTGTATCTCAATTTATAATAAACAACATATTGCAGTTTTTTATAGTAGCAGTTACATGCCTAACTACTGCAGTCGTGTTTATAGCATATTGGATTGGCCTTCCTTTTTATTGGAATCGTTCACAACCTCTCACAATTGCTTTAATAATAGTAGGACATTGGCTGTTGATTAACATAGTGTTTCATTATTACATGGGAGTTGTTACTGAACCAGGAAAACCACCAGATGTAAATAAATATATTAGTGTAATATAAAATATAGTCAGTAGCAAAATTTATTAAAAAATATTTTTAAAGTATTTTACTGATTAGTTTTTGCTCCTTATAATGAACACTTATAATGAATAAAATTTCAGTTATATTTGCTTTTTTATAGTAGATAACATAGCAACAACCGCATAGTTAATTAATTGAATTCTTTTATTAAAATAAACATATAATTTAAATTATGAGTCAAATGTCCTTTTGATTGAAAATTATTAACGATATGTAATCAATATATGTTTTCAATTATATCAAATTAATTCAATTTGATTCTACATTACTACATTATCAATTATCTGATATGATTTCATATTCTTACAGAGTGCTATTTTTCATAATCCAAATCACTGTTAAGATAACTTTCATTCAAATTTAGTGTTTCATTACTATTGAATGATTAAACCCTTGAAAATAATTGCATGTACATATATTCATTGAAATCCTATATTTTTTTCATTAGTATGTTTATAGTATAAATCTATAGCAATCTGATTTTTCTGTTTTTTTTTTTGTTCAGGGAGCTTTAATAACTGAAGCAGTGAGTATATGTAGAAAGTGTATTGCCCCAAAACCACCCCGGACACACCATTGTTCTGTTTGCAATCGATGTGTATTGAAAATGGATCATCATTGTCGTAAGTTCACATATTAAATATGGACTCTGTAAAAATTTGATTTCAAAAAGATTTTTTTTTATTTTATTCATTTTGTAATATTACTTTGTAATTATTAATATTAGCTTATATTTTGGGGCAGTAGTTTGATGTTAGCAATATCATAATGCTCAGTAAAAATGTTAAATTAAACTTCTCTCTGTTATATTACAGTTCAATATATTAATTTGATCTCCTTTGTTTTTTAATTATCTATACTTCTTTTGTTAGATTTTATTTCTCTCATACCATCTGTTCTTTTTTCAGCTTGGTTAAACAACTGTGTGGGGCATTACAACCATCGCTACTTTTACTTATATATGGTTTATATGGTTCTAGGAGTTACTTTTGTTATAATATTTGGGTTTGAAATAGCATATGGTGTACTGTGGGTAGGTTCCAGTGGACATTGGACAGAAGATCACCAACCAGATGGGCATCCCGTTAGATTTAATAATTCAGGACATATGGTTCATGTTGTAAGTTACAAAAAAACATTATAAAAGCTTCTTTTTTTACCCTAAAAAAATAATTTTTGTTACTTGTTTTATAGTTAAATATTATGAAAAACAATGATTCCAGATTATTCCATAAATTGTCTCTGTTAACATTTTTATTTGTTTTTGAAAACAAATATTATATCCATAAATATTTGTACATTCACTAGGCAGAGATGAATGAATATGGTGATGCTGGACCTCCACATCATGATCTTCCAGTACCTGAAACATTAGAGACCGAAATTCTTGCTGATGATACAATGACAAGAAGAGCAGTTCTATTTATGGCGTTGATAAATACAGGTGATTCAGTCATGCTAATAATTAGATTTCAGCAGAAAATCAAAATGTTTTTGTAAAATATAAATACTATGAGTTTGTGATTGATATTATTATTTATTATGAGAGAGTAACATTATAATTGTTATATTGTGACATCAATGTTTTTTTAAGGAGTTTTAAGTCAATGTCATAACTCTAATTGTTGACTGCCCATAATCTTAAAGCAGTAGAGATAAAATTGATGATTTGCATAAACTAAAATCAGGAGTCTGAAGTTATATTTAAAATTTTATTAAATGATAAGTAGATATCGGATAAATATCATAGAGCATATGCCGCAGAACTATGTTTGGAACTTGCTTTTTTGTGTTTTTCAGAAGTTTTGTTATGTAAATGTCTATTTACAACTAAATTAAATACACACTGTAACATTATAATCAGCTGTTTTTGTTATATAACATTCGTTTTTAATAATTTACTTACAAAATATAATTAGTATGAAGCATTTAACTTTATTTAAATAATAGGCGCATTACCTATTATATATACAGGGTGCTTCAAAAAAATGTATACACACTTTCAATCAATTAGTGGTGATTGTACTTAGAATTGTATTGATGCTGCATGTCACCAATTGGAACAGTATTAACATTTGTTATTTATGTTTTATTTACATTGGACTTTCAGCTTTCTATTTTCCTGAAATTTAACTTTGTAGAACAGTAAATAAAAGTTCAAAGTGTGTATACATTTTTTTGAAGCACCCTGTATATATATATATATATATATATATATACTACATTGTGCATAAATTTCTTCTATTTTATAGCCGTTTTATTTGCGCTGGGAGGCTTATCTATTTGGCATGGTAAATTAATTTCTAAAGGTGAGACTAGTATTGAAGCAAATATTAATAAATCTGAAACAAAGAGATTGGCACTGCAAGGAAAACAATATAGAAACCCATATAATTTCGGAACAACAAAAAATTGGAAGTTATTCCTAGGATTAGTAAGAGGCAGGTTAGTTTTAAATGAAATAACAAATTCTATGGATTGAAATGCTATAATTATACTAAATTTGTTTTTAGAACTGTGGCAATGCACTTATTATTACCATCTGCTCATAAACCCGATGGAGATGGTTTAACTTGGTATACAGTACATGACGAACAACCCAATGACTGGCCTTGACAAATAATTAAAATATAGCAATCAAATAGGCATAGGAATTCTAAATCAAGTCCGAAAAGGCAATTACCAAAAGTTCATCTTTTAATAAATAATAAAAGTAAGTGATATTATTTATAAAAAATATTTATATTTTTTCAACTTATTTACCTCAACTTTGATGCAGTTATTAGATTTGGATAGATAGATTTATATAATTTTTTCAATTTATATTTATAATTAAAAAAAATATTTATTTTGTTTGTAATATCTGATTCTAATTAAGTCTACTAGAACTTACATTTAAATAAATTGCATTGTATTAAACTCAGATTTGTGTTCACTAAATGAGCAGCTCTTTAAATTAATAAAACATTAAAGTTAATTTATAATCAATTTTTATTTATTTAAAATTGTATGGTAGGCTTAATTAAATGAACATTAAAATTAGGTATAAAACTAGGTAATAAAAACACTTCATCAAATACTAATGGGGTGTTATATTTTAAAATGCTTATTGAGTGAATGAGCCTTAAATTTCCTTACCAAGAGAAACTATTATTTAAAAACTCTTAATTTGGCCAAACAACACTTTCAATCCAGTCAACATACTTGCTGACTCTAGTATAAACACCGGGGCTATTAGGAGCACCACATCCCCTTCCGAATGATGTTATTCCCACTATGTAGAAGATACATTTGTTGCTTTGTTTTGTTATTTGCAATGGCCCACCTGAATCTCCCTGCAATAAAATATCAATAAACTTCTTGCTCATACCCTGATTACATATATTAAATTTGTCCATTATATTTTTGATATTTGATGTAATACTCACTAATCTTACAGTATAAAATTCTCTATAATGATTAGTAAAATTTGTGATATTAGAAATTCTGAAAACAATGTTTTTGCTAATGGTTCAAATTTTAATGAAGTCATAATGATTTGTTTACCTGGCAAGTGTCTTTGCCACCATCCAATTCTCCTGCACACATCTGTGTATCTACAATTCCATTTCTCAATCTTCTTCTATTAATCTGATCAACGTATAAGGGAGCGCATTGCCTATTATCAATAATTTTCAGTACTACTTTCAGTAGGTCATCACTTCTGCTCTCAGCTGTACAATTAAAACATATTAATTATTATTAAAGAAAGTACTATATTTAAAAAATAAGTTTCAATTCTAAAGCAAAAACAAATGCTCAAGTATTTGGAAATACGTATTTAAATGATAATAATATTCTTCCCTTTGATAGTATAATGCCAGCCCAGTTGCTCATATATAATCAAAAATTCCAAATTAAAAATAGAATTAGTATCAAAGTGACTGATGAAATATTATTTACTGTATGTTTGAGAAAATTCTTTACTATCATTGCTGTGTGATTGTCAATTTGAAATGTATAACCCGAGTTAATTATGAATTAGTAAATGAGGTAACTTCAGTGATCGTAACTATGTTTCCTGTAGTATCAATTTACTAACAATAATATTTTTTCATGTTTGAATGAAAGGTAATTGAATAGAATTGTCCGAGAATGAGATTAATAAAATATTATATACATATAAAGATGCTTTTATGAATATAAATCACAATTGTACATTTGTATACATACATATGTTATTTTTGCAGTTCGTAGTAAATAATTATACCGGCGGCGATATTAAAATGTTTATTATAAAAATTTTTATCAAAAAGGTTATTCCCTTTTCCTAAATTCATTATATATAAGACTTTTTTCCTTTAAGAAGTGATGAACGTATTTGTATCCAATAACCGTACTTTAAATGTATTTTGAAAATTTTTTGATAACACTAGCCTGTTTTTAAACAAAAATTTAATTTTATATATGTATTTAATTTTTAGCTTTTTAAGACAGTCATTGGTATGATTATTTTCAAATTTAGGACTAACGATGCAGAAGCATATTTATCTTTGAAATATTTATTGCAAAAAATTATTGTTACTTTCTTACCATAGTCTATCTTTCCCCAACCAGTAGCAATTGAACTATCTGTGTCGAACTCGTCATTGGCCCATAAACAAGAAGGTCTGATCGAATTGGAAAGACTACAGAATAGAAAAAAAAAATTAACAATACTAAATTATATGCAAAATAGTTAATTGAATAATATACTTGTTTTTAAGCGGCTTGGCCATATTTATTTGAATTAATGTGCCGTTAGCATACAGAATTTTCTTTCCAAATGCAATTTTAAATCAAAATCGGACCACAAGTGCAATAGGTCCGATTATATGAAAATTGATTGTGAAATTAACTACCTTGTCAAGAAGTCAAGAATCTTGTAATGTGGAGTAGAAAATTTATTAAAATAGGATTTCAGAAATTATGTCGTATTCTGCGTAAAAATACTGAATCGAATACAATATAAAAAGTTAGTATAGTATTATATATAAAATGAATATATAGATCGATAAATGCTCTAAGAACGCGAGGCCAATAAACAAACTTGTAGATTTTGTAAACCGTGTGGATTTAAAAGCAATAAAAAAAACTTTTTATAAGAATTACCTAACTGGATACCGCAGTTTAACTAGTGCAATATCATTATATTTAGATGGATAATGATAACTAGGATGAGTGATGACGGAATCGACTGGAACATCAATGGGATCGGCCCCATCGTCCGAATGTTTTAAGTTATGTTCCCCAAGTCGAACGATATCAGGTTGCTCACTAAAAATAAAATAAACATTTAAATATTGTTGATTTTTGTTGGATATAAGTGCTTTCTTTAGTTATATATGCATTGGCGATTTTGATCACTACATATAATGTATGTAAGAAATTAAGGTAAATAAGTGTCTTATTTTTTTATAGTAAAAAGAAATTACAAATATCATAAGATCCGTATTTATCCATAGATTTTTAGTATAACACAAAAAATAACAATATTTTTAAATATCATAAATCAAAAGCATTTGTAAATTTTGCTACTTTTAAACACGAAAAATTCATATCATCTCATTTTAACCCTCTCGCTACGAGCGTCGTCTATAGGCGACAGCCGCATGTTGACCTGCGCGTGTACGGCTGTTGCCTATAGACGACATCCAGTGTCGTTTTTCTTCGAGATTTATAACTGAAAATGAGTTAAATTATTGAGAGTTCTAATTTGTTATTGTAATCTTTAGTTTTTCAATTTTTAATTTTTAAATGCATTTTTATTGATTATAAGTAAGATATGTTGTTTTGCCTAGTACGTTGCTCGCTGTTCCGTGCAGCAGTGTCAGTGTCCTGCGGAAAACTATATGCTGTAGCGAAAGGTTAAATATGAAAATTATATGTTATTATGATAATGTACAAAAAGTAATTAATTTGTTTTGATAAACATGTAATATACATCGGGGTAAAAACGATTAACCTATTCGAGACCGATTGCACACCGTGTATGCAATTGCTTTCCGGGGCTATAAGACCGGTTGCGCACCGTGTGTGCAAAAATTGTAATGAAAAATTATCAGTTATTCTGAGTGATAGAGTCGTCGAGATAAGATTTTTTTTGAATTAATGGTATCAGTATGGTATAGAAAAACAAAATTTAGCGTTGGTTTTAATTCGTGCCGGAACAAAACAAAATATTTTGTTTGGAATTTTGAAATCTACTAATAATTATTTTAAAACCAGTGTGCTGTTTTCTAAGAATGTATTAACAAATTGTATTTTCTTTTTCATTACTGAGTAACATTACTGAGTAACATTACTTAGGACACACACACACACACCCGGTGTGCAATCATCTTATTTATGCAAATTTGCTTACGATTTGGTTGATTTTCGTAGTGAACCAGATTTTTTTTTATTAAAAATGAACAATATAAACAAAAAAAAATTTTGCTCCTGGGGACCGCTTTCGAAAAAAATCGGGGTCTCGAATGGGTTAAAGAAATCTTCATAGTTACCTATTTACGCTTGCACAATGCGCCGCTGTGAGTACATATTCGGGACTAATTAAAGTGCCTCCGCACCACCAATTTACGGCCCCACTAGTTTCTGTCCATCCGATGGCTGCCTAAGTAATTATATTTATAATTATACACATAAATATACCATCTGTAATATTCATTCACTATTTAAAATTCCTTTTAGTTTTTACCGTTACGTTTGCATTGATTGCACTCAAGCTTTCGCGTTCATAATGCCGTTAACCGCAAATAAAAATATCGAAGAGAATAATTACATACTTCCAAATGTATTCCTGCAATACCATTAAGCATATAATGAAATCAATTGAATCTATATTTAATTTGAAATCGAAATTTACTCTTTAAAATCATTATTATTATTCTGTCTTGATTTAGAATGTATTCAATATTCAATATATTGTATATTGTATTTATTTTTTTAATTAGCATAAGATTTTTGGCGAATATTATTATAATGCGCAATTTGTAATATTGTTTGGTACAGATATTCTAAATATCCCACTCATAATAATCGATTGGTTTAAGATTTATAATTGAATTTTAATAAATCAGGAAAGCATTTATTAACTCTATTTTTATCGTTATATTTGATTAAGAATTTATTAATTCATGACGTGAAACATTATTTGCCGTGCGCGTCATAAACTTGATCTTCTCAATAACCGAAATTCGCATAGTATAATTATATTAATAACATACATATTATATTGTTTAAATAATACTTATTATTGGTTGTATTTTTTATTCAGTAAAGTTGGAAGAATGTAAATCAAAAATAAATTCTTCTGCTTCAGCAAATTATTATCTTGGTTAGATACTTTTCTTACCATATGTGGAAATTCGCCCAATTTTGCGACTTCTCCTCCAACGATCAAAGGAACGCTATTGTAATCACATTTTTCAACTGTAAACGATATTGGATTTGGGTCTGACACCAATGGCAGAACCGTCAATGTTTGTTTTACGGCAGTACTGTACTCATCACATTCTAGAAAAATATATAAAGCTTAGAGTTTTGACTTGTTTTTCTATTAACTTCCCGAATGAGAAGTTTATGTTTGGGCCAGGAAATTCGATTTGCTAATTTTCTCGACATTCGTTCGTCGTTCGTTTTTTTTTGTCGATGTTTTCTCAATGAAGGCAGCATCAATTTATCTATCTGATTAGGTTTTGGCAAAGATTGGCCATAAATAATTCGACAATTCAGAACAAAAGTAAAATAAATTCTTAAATATGTAAATGTATTCTCAATCATTTACATATATGCTTATTGTTATACAGAAAATTCAAATAGATTAAAAACCAGATTTGATATTTTATACTGTGTCAAAGGTCGCGCGATGTATGTTAAATCCATGTTAAACCTAATGTTTCATCGTAAAGAAGTATATTTAGGAAATTAATTTGTGCTTTTGTTGATTGTTTTCAGCGAAGAGAAAATATTAATTTCACTTTTTGAACTTTGTATATGAATTTTAGGAAAATTCTAAATTTGCATATGAATTTTAGGAAAACTGTGATATTTGAATCATTAATAAATAGGTCATTTTTTATATCATTGCTCGACACCTCATCGTTTATTAAATTTTGCAAGTCGGAAAAGGCAAGCGAAAATAGTTCTTATATTATAGTACACTAGAATATGATTACGTTGCTAGCAAAATGTGTGAGTTAATTTTTTGGTGGAAATTATATCTATTATTATACCAAGTTTTGCAAATCGTTGTTGATACAAAAGATAGTCGGAGGCGGTAGTCAAATTTTATTAAAACTTGTTTGGATCCTATAGGCAATCATAATTAGAAATGTAATGTATACATTTAACCAGTTAATTGTGATGACGAGTATACTCATCTCGGAGAAGTGGAGGAATTTTGTATATTGACGAGTATTTTCGTCATGCGAATAATTCTTTGACTATTTATATAATTTTTGAAAAATAACGAAATACTTACTTTGTTCGCTGATCCTTTTGTTGCCTTCGCGGTTAGAATTCCAGTTAGAATTGTATCTCTGTTGGACGCAGCAAACTATCGGTTCATACGTAGAATAACCGCATACATCAGGTCTGATGCCGGTGGTCTGAAGGATGCGGTTTGCAGAAGGACATTGAGTAATCAGGGCGCATTCACCTGCCTCGCCATCATAACTTCTGGTGCAACTATCGCCTATCACTTCAAAATTATAATAAAATTGTCATTTTATTCGGATATTGAGGATGGTGAGCCCGAATAACAGCTATACTCTCACAATCCTGATAACGCCAATTTAATGTTAGCTATGCGTATTACCGGTACTATCTATATTTGCAGCCATGTGTCGTGATAAAACAAAAAAATATTTTTGCACTATAAATGTGGTCGAATGGTTTACCACTGGGAAATCTTATTTTTTTACCATCTCTAACTACAATCCCATTACTTGGAGACATATTGTGATGTATGTGGTAATTAAAAAACAGTGTGTGGTCGAAAAACTATTCGTTTCACACGAGTTAGTTTTGTCAATCAAAATTTTTGAAGTCTTATAAGACAACATTGACGAGCGACATCAAAGGAAAAATTAAATCAAATGTATCATGAACAGAATATACAGCAAACTCATAAAACTAAAGTAAACTAATAAAGGTAAAAGATAAATAAAAATAAATCTAGACCAATGATTTGGTGAATAGGCGATGTCGACTAAATTAGCTGTAATTTTAAGTAACAGGGTCTTTTCTTTTTGAGATTTCTTATAGGACGCGGCAATATTTTGGTGGTTAGATTTATATGAGTTATTTCATTTACTGACAAAATAAGTTGATATTTAGATCCTTGTGAATGCAAAAGATATACTGCACCATGGTGATAAATTTTCATATATTTGCAGAATGGTGCAAATGTTGGTAATTGTAGGATTTTATATTGTAACGGATGTTAGGGTTACAAAGTAACAGTTTTAAAAATAATTTAATGATGTATTTAATTTATTACATTTGTTTTATTACATTTGGCTATACTAAAATGGAGTTTTGGAAAAGTTAAAAATGTTTATTATCTATATGTAGCAGATTTTTAAGTAAATTGAAAAGATGCCTCCAACAATTCTGTATTGATAAAACTAACGTTTTTGCAAACTGATCGTCAGAAAAGTCCATAAATTTATGAAAATTATGAATCATACGTTATCGAAAAACCTAAACAGTGACATAAACATGATTTAAATAATATTAACTTCACAAACAAACAAATTAGATTTTTGGTTAGTGTTGGTTAATGCTTTAATTTTCCCAATTCACTTAAACTTATATACGTGAATTAGTATTCTAGAATTCCATCTTTTTTCTAGAAAACATATTTCGAGCGTTTATGAGTTTCTTACATTTAGCCTCATGAATGATATGAGGCTAACTAGTGATTAATTCCGACATTATTTGATACTTAAGTAAAAATTCTAAAGCTTATCACTTATCACATTATATATTCAACAATTTTACTATTAAACATTACTAATCAAAGTCTAATAAATTTAGTTCTATAAAAGTATTATTTAAACACCTCGTAGCCATCATAAAGCTTTATCACTGATAACCTTCTTATTATATGATAACCCTGAATTATGCGCCTTATGAAAATATAGATTTAAAATAAATAATATTGCAGTATGAGTATAATTTTGTAATATAATCTGTCACAAATCAATACAAAACATTTTCTTTGACTGTTTTAACATTTAGCTATGTGTTGCATAATTTAAAACGTATGATCTTAAGGCTTGTAAACGTGTAAACTTCTTCCTGTAACTACTTTATGCAATAATAAAAAAGATAAAATATGCACAGCTAATTTAATTTAGCTTGAATATATAAGATTTGTTTAAAGTTTTAGGGGTACAATTTTTTTATGTTTTACAAGTTTCTCAAATTGATAAGAATACAAAAATGGCAAATTTATGGCATTGAGTAGTTTTTCACATTCAAACTCAATAATGAACATACGATTTGAAAACTATTCGAATTATATAAAAGATGTTGAGAAAAACATTGGTTTTTAGAAAAAGTCAGAGCGTCTAGTTTTGGTTACTATGGCATCAATAAGTCTTATAACAAAAAAATAAAATGAAAAACAATGTTTCGGTCATAGATAAGTCAATTTAAATATTGCTCGTGAAAGTGCTAAATATGTGTTATGTTAAATTAAGAATATATTCAAGCGATTTTAATAATTCCAATGCAACTTCCTGAATTCGTATCGAATTGTTTGATCGCATAGTATACATTTCCGATGATTTTAATGTTCTCATTGTCAGTGTTAAAATTAGCATAAAATTATATTCATATTTGAATTAAAAATATATTTATAACAGATAAATATAACACTTAGATCCTAATGAATTTTATAAAAAATGCTATACTGTTATAAAATTTATTTAAAATATTTCCAATTTTAATCTTATAGACATTTGTAATAGACACATGTTGATTTAAAAGAAATACGGTTATTTGTATGGAAATACGAAGTACGCGCCCAAAAGCCATTTGCACACAGAATCGCGAATAATGAATACATATAGCTATCGAATTAAAAATATTATTTTTGGGCTTTAAACTGAAAAGATTTTAACTGAAAACTGAACAACTTTCTTATATGAGATCGTACTTCAAATATTTTTTTTCTAATTAACATCGAGTTGATTATGTATTTATCTAAAATACATAATAAATTGAAAGGAAGTAAGCCTGCATTGACACCGCATATCAATTAAATACCGCATATCAAAAGTTAATAGAAAAATAGTGAAAATAAAAAGAAATAAAATAGTAACAATAATAAAAATAAAAGTTATTAAAAATGTTCAATAGTTAAATTTATCATTAATTATTAGTAGCAAATCACATGTAAGTTGTGAATATGCATGGAATAAAATATTTTTATAAAATTTTGATGTTAATTGGACATATTTAAGTTAATAGATATCACGTGAAACTTCATTGAGAAGCATATAATTCAACATTTATAATGAGCACTCATCTAGAAAATTATTTTAAATATATATTTAATTTTTTGTCGTCGGTTTAATATTTAAATAAGAGGTTTTTATGTCGTTGCACCGCCATGTCTTGATATGTTGATACTTTTGGGTTTTTCCAATGGCGTACTAGTACATGTGGCCCATAAATCATTATAAAAATAAAACGATTTAATTATTTGTTTATTTAAGGTCAATAAAACTTCAACAATAAGATCTGTGAATGTATCCTTCAGATACTAATAATGTGTTTCCGAAAACTTAATAGACATTGAAAATAAGTAAGAACAATATATAAAAGAAAAAAATAGTAATTTTGGCAAGTAATTACATTTGTACTATACATTTCGATGTTACTGAATGCCCTCAGGACTGCATTCTTTACTCGAAATTCATAATGGAAATGTGAAGAATTTAAAAATATCACTTTACGTAAGAATCGTTCAGGTTAAAGCCGTGGTTCCCAACCTGAGGGGCGCGACTCCTCAGGAGAGCGCAAGGCTATTGCAAGGGGGGCTTTCAAATGTTTCCAAAATAGAATTTTTAAAAATATAACAAAAAATTTAAATTATATAAAAAAAGAAAGTAAAATTATTTTTTATGAATATTTTACATAATATTGCATTTTACATAATTTGTAGTATGATAATATCAGTTGAGTATTTATGAAATACTCACGACTGTTTATTTTATAAGAACCGGGTCCTGGTGCGGAAAAGGTTGGAAACCACTGGGTTAAAGTGACTAGTATCAATTTATAAATGCGTTAATAAAATAAGTCAAAATTTTGAAATATTATTAGGTTTAATTAAATTTTTACACATTCGAGGGTGTTAATTTATTTAAACTATAGGTAAACTTATCTATATATAAATATGTTTATTGTGGATATGCTTACAATTAGATAAAACCGCTTGTAAAAAACGGAGTTATAACGACAATTTCATTTGTTTACATTTTCAATATTAAGTGAAGTTTTTCTATTTTAAAATAAAAATGGCGAAAAAAGTCAGTTTTCATTTGAATGTTGAACCTATCCAAAAATTAATAAATTTGATTGTTAAATAATGTCTCTTACTTATTTATTTAAATAAATTTTCATAATTTTTGTATCTCATAATAATAATAAAATAACATCAAATATTAAATACTAATGAAATGATATGGCATAAATATTAAATACTAATAAAAACATTAACAAATTCATTCATGAAAATAACATTCAATGCCTTAATTATTAAATTCACTGCGAAATTTAAATATTTGAGAAATGAATCATAGGAGTATTTAAAATTATTAAGAAATTGTTATTATGAAGTATGTTGAAAAATAACGATGAAGCAATGCATCTATTTATACAATTAGCATTATAAATCAAAGAGCAATACTTACCAGATATCTGAGCATTTATCAGTACAATGTTTTTTACAAACAATAGCGCGCATATTAACAAAAACATTATCACATAAAAACAAGTCAAATGGGAAATTCGACCATTCGCAAAAACAACACTATGCCGATTTAACTTTTTTTTTAAATATATCTAAAATTTTAATTAATATTCCACAACACGACACAACTTACAACTTAATTACGTCTCACCTCGCCAATGTCACATTTCAGACTAAACTGAAAGACTTAACAAAACCAGAACTTACGAGGTCTCCACTCAGCTGGATGTAAATGCAAATTATAGCAAAACGATGCGATGTTTATGTTTTTGTTCAATCAGACCTGGTGATATTGATAACGCCCTGTTTTAGCCTGCCAACGTCTTTCCTCAATAGGAAAATAATAAAAAAAAAATCTCTTTTTAATTATTATTAAATTACTATTCATATTCTGTATTAGTATTGCATGCTTTTTTCATTATATTACATACACTGGTATTATTTATTAATTAATTTATTTATTTAACGCCCATGGCAAAAATAGAATACTGAAGATAAAAAATGAAAAAAATTAATGCTTTTAAAAATCACAGACTACTAATTATATTTATATACAACACTTAGAACTATGAACATACAACATTTACAACCATTGTAACAGATTCAGCTAACGATTATAAATTCTCCCATATAAATAATACGTATTATAAATTAAAATTTTATTCCGATTATTTAACTGATTAAAATTATAATTAGTTATTTATATTGTCATTTGTTCTGTTGCCTGATTAAGCATACAAATTTTACACGATTTAATATCACTTTCCACGTTACATTAACACGTTTGATGTATACTCGTGATAATTGTTATTAATAATTCATTTTTTATTACAACATTATATTTCATTATAAAAATATAAATATATTAATAGTAAAGTTAAAAGTTTTTTTCCAGGAACATGCGCCTTGCGCAAAGGATTTCTGATTCCTTTTCCAGGTTAATTTCACACGTAGAATCTTACCTTCCGCCGATTCTTTAATTTTTAGAAATTAATTATGTCTAATTTTTGAACCCGATATGATTGATATCATAAATATCATATTGTTAATTTGGTGTAACTACAAAGATATTGAGTTGCTTTAAAAGAAATCAGATGATATTTTCAGATACCTAAATAGGTGATCAAATTGGATGATGAACAACGACCAGAATTGGCAAATAGCAATAAAATTTTATTCTATTTCGATAATACAAGGTCTCACATATCTTTGGTATCTTGGAGCAACTTAGGGGCCATCCATTAAACACGTGATCGTTTTTAAACATTTTTAAGCCCCCTTTTCTCTTTGGTGATACGTGGTGATATTCAATCGCTCCTCTTTCAATCAACAACACGTGTAATAATAGTACCTACAAAAATCGTAAACTTTTTGAAAAAAATATAAAAAATAAATACACATGTGATCTAAATAGACTTCACCTCCCCCATCTGATATTTCGTGATTTTTTGTCAAACCTTTCAAACTCACGTGATTTGGACGGCTCCTTATTGGAACTGACATAGAGAGAAAATATGAAAAATTGATTGATTATAGTTCCTTTTAAAAAAAATGTTTTATGTTGCACCCAATTACTTTCTTGCCAAACTATTATTATCACTTTTATCTTGCAATTTAAGTTGTAATAATTTTGTTCTAAATGAGTACATATTTCGCAATTATTTTTGCCAGTAGGCTTGCTCGTAGGTAAGCGGTTAAGAGCGATGGGACTTGTTTCAGAGGTCCCGGGTTCGATACCCACTTCGAGCAGCCTGTTGTCAGGCAGCAGTGACAACGATTTTCACTTGAAAATATAGATAGCAATATGTTTCCAAGTGCAAATAGCCCTTAATCCGGCATTGCTGCACCAATAAAATGTCAGCCCTATTAGATTAATTCTAGTAACAAAAATCATCAAATATGGATGTATTAACCATTGGGTTACCTTCTAAAAAAATACGAAGGAAGGAGAAGTTTCAGCCCAACAGCTCATAGGACGTAAGGTTCTGATTGCTATTCAAAAATGATAAAAAAAAATCTACCAGTTGAGTTATGGTAATGCTGAATTTAGTGTAAGTATTAAATTATTGATATTAGTAATATATTTGAATGTTTTTATTATTTTAATATTTATTAAATCAGAAATAATATTTTATTATGGAAATATACTCATTTATGCTGAAGATAAATCAATATTTTTCCCTTATTTACAAATTTAAAAATTGTCGATCTTATTTATACTATCCTAAGTAAATAGAAGAACGTTTCAAAATATACATATATTGAGTAGAAATTATTAGATATATATTTTATATAAATAAATGTTTAACATAAAATGCTTAGATATGATTACAAAATTTGTGTTACAAAACAGTCGATTGTAAATTTACATAATTGAATAAATACGTAAACAAGTGGTGTATGGCATCGTGCCTTAAGCCAAATTGCTGGAACTTCTCGTACCGTAATGAAAAATTCGAGAAATATTAAATGTTTTCAATTAGATTATTATAAATACTGTAACTTGTTTGTTTACAGAAAAGTAAATAAACAAAACTTAAACAATCGAATTTAAAATGAAGGGCTTTGTATAATATTTATAAGAATTATATAAAGTGAAGTGCAATGTTAAAACTATTTATTTAAAGTATTTAATTGAGCTTTAGAACTATAGCTAGAAAAAAAATCAAATCCGAATTAATTTCGATATTAAAAAAAAAAAATTTTAAATTAAAAAAATGTGTTTTTTCCTAAAATCAATAATTTCGTCAACACAAGCAGAAAGTTTTTTGAATCATTCAAATCGGATGCTCTCTCAAAAACTGCATTTTTTGCACATTTAGCTCCGTATCTTCGAAACGGTTGGACCTGCCTTTGCCAAAAACTAACCATCACTTCCCCCATCATTACAAACTGAATGTTTTTTAGATCATTCAAATCGGATGCTCCGTTCTTTCATAATCTCGATTTCTATTTTCTGCACTCTTTGCTGCGTATCTTTGCTGCCTTTGCCAAAAACTAATCAGCACGTCTCCCTATCAATAGGAATCGAATGCTTTTTGAACGAAAGAGTGCGGACATACAAAACACACACACATCCATTTTTTCTGAGGTATGCCAGAAACCTTCATAACTACTGCTGAACTAAATGTGATCAAAATCTATCTTAATATTTAGTATGGAAAATAATCTAATTTTAAATAATATTTAACATTTCTTTAGCATATATATAAAATTTATTTCTTTCATAATTAAGAAAATCATTCAAATTTATGTTGCTCTATCTATTGGCAGCATTTCTTACTACTCACTTCGAATATGACATATACAACAAAAACATTAATATCTTGTTTGTATCGGTCTCTACGTTTATTTGTTGCCAATTTGTTTCATTAATGCATGTCGGCGAAACAAATGTTTGTGCAAATTTTGTTTGTTTAATGAATATTTTATAAAGTGATCTTAAATTAGTTAAATTTATTTTTTTAATTAATTTTTTGTTTCACTTTAAAAGTTTAAATTATACTGCATCTTAACGTAAGTATTTTGTGTTTCAATTATAACCCCAAAAATATATAAAACAAAGTTTGTTTTATATATATATATATATATATATATATATATATATATATATATATATATATATATAATATATATATAAAAATTATAACTTAACAAATAAAATGTTAAAATATGTATTAATGAATATTAAAATGAAATTAGGCAAGCACAAGTAAATCTTGAAAATCGTTAAGAAAATGTGATTATACACAAAAAACAAATATAAAGTCGAGATGAGTCAAATCAAGAAGTAAAATGCAGGCTAGATCATTGAAATTTTCTAATGATTTAATTTAGTTTTTTAATAAAACAGATATTTATAGAATTGCTTTTCATCATGTGCTAAAATAATTAGACTGTAAATTTCTTTCAATCTTTTCAATAACAATAAATTGTATTTACATATCAATGTCTTATATAGATCTTCATGAGAGAATTTAAGTTAATATATTAATTACAGCATGAGTGACAATCTAGGTGACTTGGAATATATACTGCCTCGGATTACTACTGATGATTTACGGGAATTGAACTTGTAAGTAATACATCAAAACTTAGTTTAGTTAGATAGAAATAAATACTGTAATGACTACATCAAAACTTTAACATATGTAAAGATTTTAAATATACAGTAGAAACTTGATTATCTGGACCTCAGTTATACGGATTCGCGATTATCCAGACTCCCAACCACAACCAATTTATATGTATGTACATACAATTCGAATTTTTGCATGAGTAATGCCACAGTTTGTATGTATGTAATGTAATCTATGAAAATATATATGTACATACATAGGGAAATGTTAATTTCTTATTAAACATTTTTATTGATATCTATGCTTGTAATTGTTATTTTTGATAAATATACATCATTATTCTTCATACATTGGATTATACGGATGCCTATTGACAACAATTAGTCCGGTTAATCGAGGTTCTACTGTATTTGAATTTGCTAAATAAATGATACACACACACTGTTTAGCCATAGATATTTGAAAAGTACTCATTTGCTATCTAGTACTTTAACTCCCCATATTAATAAGTAAATAGAATTTCTGTTTTTTTTAATAATTTGTGTGTTTTATCAATTGAGCAAAGGTCAAACTCGAAACATGTTCAAGTCTGTTTTTTTTTTTTAAATATCTTGATTTAATATCTGGATTATTGTTTATTAAATGAAACATCTTCTGACTTTAAATTAATGTATGAATATACTGAAAGTATGTAATATGTTCATTTTATTTCAATTACATAATTTTGAACATATGTACTTATAATTAGCATAAATCATGTTTTCATAAAGAATATGATTTTTTAATATGTGATGCAAGAACACTCTGTTATTGCTAGAGAAAATTTTGGCTTGCGGTTTATTTTTTTTATTGACTAATCTTCCTTGTGCAAACAAGGTTTGAGATTTTTAAAAAAATATATATATAAATTTATTTCTGTTTTATATATTTTTTTATCTTATCCATATTTATATTTTGTGCATGACTTGTTAGAAATTTTATTCTGAAAATGATTTTTATTTGCAACAAATAGAAGTCAGCTAATTTTATAAATGATTGAGAATTCAAGAAAAATGAAATAGTTTACTATAAATTTTTAATTATAGAGAAATTAATTATATTCTTTTTATTCTCAGGGATTTAAATTCATGGTCTGATAGCAATGTAAGTATTAGAGTTCTTTCTTATTTTATTGTAATTTTGATATAATCACTATTGTTTAAATGTTTTTATAAATAAAAATTTAATTGCAATAAATATAGAATTAAAATATGCCTATTAAGTGTATATTTATTTTAAAAACAAATTAGACATTTTTCAAATCATTAGTGATTTTTTGTATAAGATATAAAACAAACATTTATTAGCAGACTGAACTTCCATTTCTGGCCATACCACCTGATTCAGATCCAGCACAGCGGGATATTAAAACTGAGCCGTCTAGTCACTCCTCTGCAGAATATGATGGTTTTTCTACCATGGTAATTATTTTCATTATTTTTCTTATAGTCTTATTTAATTTACGATACATATCAAATTAAGTAATTTTGGTATAGCAGATTGTTCTGGATACTAGTAATTGCATTTTGTTTATAAATGTTTTTCTGAATTTAATAGGCGCTACAGAATATGAATTCAGCTGCCATTCAACATTCAGTACAAACTGTTCCCAGTAACAAGGACTTTGCTGGGGATTACAACTTTGATCTCAAAGTAGCATGTAGCAAACTTGGACAACAAAAACCTCAAGTTACTGTAAGTAATTCTTAAAAATAATCTATGGTATTGAACTTGTATTAAGGACAAGTGGTTACTAGTAGAATACGTACATCGACCTTTTTGTACATGATTGAATTATATTATATTTTGTTATTTTATCAAAAAAAAAGTCTCTTAAAATAATATTATTTTTTAAAAATGTTTTCAGTACTCTCAAAAACTGAATAAGGCTTTTATCAACATGGGACATACACTGCCAATAGATTTTTTTTGGAACCCTATGATCCCTGGATTGTTTGTAAGAGCAACAATGCTGTATTCTAGCCCTCATGATGCTCCGAATCTGGTTATGAGATGTAAAAATCATAAGACTATGAAATCAAGCGATAGTGAGTATTATTTAATATTCATTTTGATTTTATAAATATATATATTATTTATTATTTAATTTTATTTATATTTTATTTATATTAATTTTGATTATATATTATAATTAGTAGTTAATTTTGATGTTGTGATACATCCCAAAAAAGGCAAAGATTTATAAATTAATACTTAAATCCAAAATGTTTTGATATACAATTTAATATCATAATTGAAATTATATATATATAAATCGTTATTTCAGATTTAGATGATTTCAATAATTCTGATCATGTTTTGTTGTGCAAGTCAGTGGGAGCTCAGTACTTTGGTTCAGTTGATTCTAATACACATTTGAATGTGACAGTGCCGTTAGGCAATGTGCAGACAGGTGATTGTTCTGTGAGAGTATTATATGAATTTGCTTGCAAGCATTCTTGCGTCAGTGGCATGAATCGACGCAGTGTTGAGTGCGTTTTTACCTTAGAGAATTTGGAGTAAGTATTTTCTTAATTGAAAAATTTATTTTTACAAACTGAAATTGAATTCTTTTCTAAAATAATATTTATGACAATATGTAAGGTATTGTCTTAGATAAGAGAAGAGTGTCTATAGTAATTAATGCTTCACTTATTGTTGTGAATAAACAAAATGATAACATTTTGGTTAAATTATCTTGGTTTCTAACAATAACTATAGCCAAATAATTATTCAATCTATGTATGTATATTTTCACGTTAAGTTTTATTACTATATTGTTATAAATATTTTTTCATTAAAATTTGTTTCCTTATTAATAATTATTTTTATATGTAAAAGTGGATGATTACAATGTCACATATATCTGAAAATAATATGTAATAGTTGTACTTCTAAAATGATAAAGAATAATAAACATATTGTCAAGAAGTTGACATTCTGTTTATTAATGTTGTTATTGAATTATATGTTAATTAAAGTGAAAGGCTATAGAATTTTAGACTTAGCTTGTATTTTTCTTTATTATACGGTTATATATTTCAGTGACTTAAAATGATATGTATGAGTATAAGACTTTTTCTTTTCTCTAGTAACAGAAGATATACTAAAAATCATGATATAATTTTTTTTTTTTTCAGTGGACAAATACTTGGTCGAAGAAAAATTGGCATCAGAGTATGTAGTTGCCCAAACGAGATATGAACAAAGAGGAAGAACATGATAACAAACCAAGTGGAAAACGAAAAATTAAACAATGTTCTGATGAAGAACCTCTGCCAATTGAAATTGCCAAAAAGAGTAAGGACTCTGGGCCGTTGGACGCTACATACTATGATCTCCCACCTGTGAGTCTTTATTGTATTAATGTTTTTATATACTCTTATAATTTTTATAATATTGGTTACCTGTGGAAACATCTGTTTTTCTACATAAATATTATTTCAATTTAATTAAGATCAATTTGAAACTATATTCCATGTTACGGTGAAATTTTGTAATCTATTATTTATATTAATTAACTTGTTGACTTATTACTTTCAATATTCACTTGCAATATAAGTAAAACAAAAGTTTTTAACAACATTGATTAACACCGAATTGATTATAGTGGCATAATATTTTTTGTAAATTGTTTTAGCATTTTGTAGAATGTTTCTAAATATTTTTAAAATATTTCTAGGTCATGGGTAAAAGAATTATGCAACGACAGTGCAA